TTTCTTAGTTTTAGTTTTCTCCAAGTATGTACTTTATTCAGAAATTGTGAAAAGTGAATTCAAAATCAGTAAGAAAGCTGTCAACCAATAAAAACACCATTATATTCTCTACATTGGTATAAGAGACTGGCAGCACCAAGCCCAGATATCTGTTTCCTATAAGAATTCAACTTCTTTTTAGCATAAGCCATACTGAGGTACATCACAGCCAAAACAGTAAATCATTAGTTGCGATTTTGACTAAACGTCTGAGCAGAAAAATACATTTCCGCAGTGTGTTTCTCCTCCCTTTCATCTCCTCATCTCTCTGTATTCATTCATGTCCCTCTTCTGTACCCAGCTGCTGAGTGTTACTGGAATCTCCCCGGTGAGTCCTGGATGAGGTCAGACTTGGACAAAGATGGCCGCCTCATTAGTGAAACTGAGTAGACACGAAGGAACAGACCGTATGTCCCAAAGTTGGGCATTGGGCAAACGTGCGCGACTGTATTGTGTACTGTAGGGTCCCATTGGTTTGATCCAAAACATAAATCTCCTTTTAGATGAAAACAGACTAATGTATTTTTGTTCTACAGTTTGTGTGAGTGTGTTGTTATGGTTACATTGTTGAGTAATCTGACCTGCATGTTTTGGACTTAAAGTTTATCTGTTAAATCTTCATTGCCTGGATTAAACAGTATTATCTCAAACTATTATTATGTCTTTGTTATGGTACACATTGCTACTAGTATCTATATTTATTTATTGATTTAATCTTTCATTCAGACACATACAGAGTGAATGAAAACAGACAACAAAAATACATAAAAAAACACGCAAACATACAATTTATTTTCTTTTTTTCAATTATTATTATTATTATTATTTATGTCTTAAGCATCGTCATCATTAAGATCTCAAGTGATGACGTCTCTGTTCTTGTTCACATTGGTACACATCATACTAAAAGCATTGTCCTCTTTTGTTTTATCTGGAAGAACTTGGAAATAAACGGAGGGTTGCAAGTCGCAGCTGCCTCTGTCTCCTTTTTCAACATTACAGTATATTAACACATTCTATCCAACCTGGCTAATACTTTTATTGAAGAATGGCCTACTTTTGTTGGGCTATGAAAGTCCTCAATAGCACAAAACATATATTTCCACAGACAATAGTTTTAACCGTTCTACAGGTGAGGTTCCCCATGCATAATATTGCATAATAATTATTAATACTATATTATATTATACAATATAATTATTGTAAATAGTAACTGTAACTCTATTTTAAATGTATTCTTTAGAAGTGTTTTTTATTCTTATTTTTATTATCTCTTTCTGACTGTTGCACTGAGCCAAAGCAATTTCCAAGTCTGTGACCTCCTGTTACTTACGTGGCAATAAAAATGATTCTGATTCTTATTCTGATTCTGATAATGTTGAAGCTCTTTTATATCTTTTGGGGAAATATTCAAATGAAGTAATTGTATTTTGAAAGTAATTAGTAAGTTTACAAATTCGAGTAGTCTAATTTCTCACGTCATGAGTAAGGCTTTGAATATAGCTTAATGTGACATTACACTTCATCTTGTCATATAATAATTATTTTGACAAACCAAGGTCAACATTTACTTATTTGAATGAGATGGATAGAAAACACATGAATTCACTCAAGGCAAGTTTTGTACATGTTTTTAGTAGTAGTGGAAACATTGGCCAACACAAGGAGAACGTGCAAACTCCAGCTCTATTTTTAGTATGTTATTGGCTCCAGGAAAATGCTGAAAATAGTCATGTTGTACATATGCAGTTTTATGTTCACTGGACATAGATTTTGACTGCAACATTTCTTTTTATCTTTTATCCATATTTTACAGTATGTGCACATCAACTACAAAGGCATTAATCAGCTCGCATCATTAGAGCAATAGAATCAAATGAGATGGGTTAATTAGCTAAGCAATTGGCTAATTAGCATGTCAGGTACCTCGCCTGCGCTAACTCCCTGGGTATATATGGGAACCTCATGTAACAACAGTAAGGTCAAAACAGCAGGTAGTAGTAGTAGTAGTAGTGTGTTTATCTCGAATTACATGCGCAATACAAAACAAACCAAAAAAAGAAGAAACATATAAACATATATATGCACAATTCGAAAAGGAGTAGGTAGAAGTGAAACTTATGCTTCCTACCCCTTGTTACAAACTTTTCTCTTTACAGGAGTTCAAATGATATACAGGCATATTTCTCTCAGATATACAATTTACACTCGTCTCCATGAATAGTAATTTTAAATACTGATTTAGCACCAATGATGTTCTTAGGTCTTGTTGTCACTGCCATTTTTACCCAAAACTGTTTATTTAATGTTAACATAGTTATGTATGTAGACCCTACATAGTGCAGTGCATTAAATACAGTGGGTAGAATGAGCCAGTCGAGAGAAGGTAATAGCCCCCACTCAACCCGCCCCACTCCCAACATCCCTGACCAATGGAAATGTAGGAAAATTTGCGTTGTATATGCTTGCTGTGTGTTGCGTTAAAAACGAGGTGTTGAGGCCGCTTGGCAAGAGGGAGCCCGCCAATCCAACCATATCTCGTCTGCTCTGATCTCTCAGCAGGATGTGGAGCAGGTCTCTCCACATCCATTACAGATAATTAAATTGGTTTTATTTCTCCGCAATAGAAGTAGAATGTAAACATTAAAAAAAAACATATTTCAACATCAACATTATGATTATTAACTTGTCTTTTTGTTTTTTTGTTGGATCACAGATTATCAGCTCAGTTTGCAATAGATAATATTTCCAATTAATCTGTACCCTTCCCCTTTCAGCAGGAACAGATATTGACTGAATACTTTTTTTTTGTACATTTGAGTACAGACCTTTCCCTCATCTAGGAAAAAAATTAAGAAGCACTGTATATACTTCTATTGTCACTGTTTTTATACTGTGAGAAGTGATTTTATGGCTGTTTTGGCACGAGAATGAGGTATTATTGAAGTTACATCTAATCTTACCTAAGTCTTTGCTCCATTGCATCCTATTAAGAATAAACTTTGGGAGTGCGTATGGATCCAAAACAAAAATCCCATTAAAAATTATCATCCTTTTGTTCACTGTAGGGATACAAAAAAAGTAGCACTTGCCATTCAAGAAAAAAAATCATAATTCTGTGATATTGGGTCATCAGCAGCACTGACATCTATAGCTACATCCCTATACACCAACTCTATCTTTGTCTCTTTGATACTGTGCCACATCCTGTCCGTGCTGTGCATTTGGCCTGTGTTCTCCGGACCCTCCGATGAGGCCTTGGCTTGGGGGTTGTTGACGCAGATCAGACGTGGGCCAGCGAGCGACAGACACCAGCTTTTTGACTGAGCTCCAAACATCTCCTAAACTCATGAGCGGCCATATTGGACTGGAGCCCGGATATGGACGTGGGCAGGGTGGTAAATATTGACGGTTACATAACTCCTGACGTCATCAAGAAGTCGCAAACTATAGCTTTGGTAAAGCTTAGGCAGTGTCAGGCTCATAGAAAAAAAAAAAACATGCACTACTATTGCCACTGTTTCTTAATTGCCACTTTTATTGAACATGATACATCCTGCATTGAACATGTTTACGCATATTCTATCCATGCCAGATGTGACATGTAAATTTCTCTTGTGTGAGATCAATAAAGTTTATCTTATCTCATCTTATCTTATCATTGGTTTACATGTATTCTAAAAATATGTAAAGTGGTTAAAAACGGCTAAAATATAATTTCACAAACCGACACCCTACTGTTTCACTGGTTTTACTGGTCCTTAACTACTGAAATTAACTTATGAATTGCATAATGTTTTTAACCCCTTTTACTATTTTTTTGGAATATATAATAAACTATGAGCCAAGGGCAGGAGTATTTTGTCAAAAGACAATTGCACCAAAAGAAAAATGCTCTATTTTATACCCCCAACCACTATTATGATTATAGATGGATTCATTTTGACATAACACAAAGAAAACTACCACAGATTAAGGCTGTTTAAACCTCATGGTAAATTACAGGTTACGTATCATTCCAGTTGAAGCGTCACCATGGTAACAGAGAGACTTAGCACAGACTGGTAATTTACAGTTTGCATTATAACGTTACTTATGTCTTTTACACAGCAGGAGGTTGTATTGCCTTGTTAAACATGCCAAATATGTATTATTTTGTTAGCATTGTGAAGCACTTTGGGTGACCGTGGTCTGTAAAATGCGCTAGATAAATAAAGATTTCTTCCTAACAAAATTATTGAAATACAGGTACAGGTGCTTTTCTTTTCCTCCACTGTGTCTGCGTCTTCATTTTGATCATGACAACGGTTACTAAGGAATTCATCGGATTTTTCCTTACATAGTCGTGCTTTCAAATATATCTATTTCACATACCACATATTCTGCCCAATCCACTGTGGCAATAATGAAATACAACAAAGATATTGCTGCGTTCTGTACACAACATGTAATAATAATGATGAGTTATGTTTGGAAGTTGAATAATAAAAAAGGGAAAAGAAAAAAATATCAAGCCAGTGTATTTTTGCATGACTAACAAGCCAACAAGGTGCTCTACAAAGCATGACAAAGACACAAGAAATACTTCACACCTAGATGACCCCTCCAAAGGAATCAAACCGGAGACCTTTTGGCTTCGAGGCGATAATTCTAAACACTTTACCGCTGCTGTCGTGCCGCTCAGTAAAGTCCAATTAGAGAGCTTAGTCCTCGCTGCCATGTAAAGCAGCCCGATCAATACTTGTCCTGCACTTTTTATCCAGTCCAAAAACAAAATCCTACTGTCTCTGAGCATCACATAGAGATTTTAGCGACTGATTAGCGAGAGCAGGGAAAGGAAACACTAGCTAAGTTTTCAGCCAAACATCAGCAGAAAGGAAAATAATTTAGGATAATTTGGCTGCACAAGTATGACAGCAAACTGGTAAATAGCTACAAAGAAAGCCCCCAATGAAAGAAACATGAAGCCTCGTTCTGAATGCGAACGCTACGTGGAAAATCACCAGGAAGATTACCCCAATGGTAGGATTTTGTTTGAGCCAATTAAATAAAGTTGCTTGCTTTTCACAGTCATTGATTAAATCCGTCTGCCACTTACTCGGAGCTGTACCCAGGCAAAAACACAAAAAGAAGGATATGCATTATGTGTTTGAGCAGAGAGTATTAAATTAGCTTATGGGACAATTTACTACACCAATTGTAAAACAACATTGGAATACTTGTTTTTGTCTCGGTTTGGCTTCCAAATGGGTGGACACAACTAAGCTGTCCAAACAAATAATGAAAAGACCTACAGAGAAGACCCCAGCATCAACCTTTGAAGATAAAAGGGATTGAAATGTATTTGGTTCACTTCTACAGAATATCAACCGGTCTTTGTAGTGATATAGCTGCAGGTGTCATGTACTTTGTGATATCTCTAGTGTTTCCCATTTTTCTACGTTAATCCACATACTTTTAAGCTCAAAAGGAGTAAGAACTAGTTGGAACAGAACTTTGTCCATGAGCACTTCCCTATTGGGCTTCATTTTGCTAGTTGGTTAGCATCTGAAATTTCTCCACTGTGAGACTAATAAAGGTTTATCTTATCTTATCTTATTGTCCTTATATATATATATATATATAATCAATGAAGACCCAAGACTACCCATTCGTGGGAGAAAAAGAAACGCGCTGTGTTATTTAAAAAAGTAAAACACAACACAGTCCATTTTTTCCATTCATGATTCTGTTGTCCCTAAAATCACACCGTTTTAAATGTTTAATAAGGGAATTGTGATTTTCCATTTTCTTTCTTAATGATGTTGATTTTGTCACTATAACCAAAGACATAAAAGTGTCGGTGTGCTAGTGTTCGCTTAGTGTTGTAATTACTGCCTTTGTGAGCTAGCAGAGCGCTAATTATGAAGACGCTATTACTGTTCTTGGAGCAAAGAGAGAAGATGCAAGGAGATAGGAGACAAGAGGGTAGGAGACGAGGAGATAGGAGACAAGAAACTAAGAGATGAGGAGATAGGAGACAAGAAGCTAGTAGACGAGGAGATAGGAGACAAGGAACTAGGAGACGAGGAGATAAGAGACAAGAAACTAGGAGACGAGGAGATAGGAGGCAAGAAGACGAGGAGACAAGAAGCTAGGAGACGAGCTATAGGAGACGAGAAGCTAGGAGATGAGGAGACAAGAAGCTAAGAGCTAAGAAACGAGGAGCTAGGAGACTGAATCCATGTATAAAAATAATAATAAATAAAATGGAGGCGATAGGAGACAAAAAAAATGTAGAAGACAAGAAGCTAAGAGAAGAGAAACGAGAAGCTAGGAGTCATGAAGCTAGGAGGCTGAATCCTGCATGAACCTGAAAAAAAAAAAAAAAATAATAATAATAATAATAAATGAAAAGAAGAGGAGGAGCTAGGAGACAATAAGGAGAGGAGGGATCGAGGTTGTGGGTGAGGCAGAGATACCACACAAACCGACAAAAGTGTCTAAAGCTCAAGGACGTCACCCGAGGAAATCCACACACTCCATCCTTGATCTGTCACGTTGCATAACTTTCATTAAAATGATGGATGCAAAACAATAAACGGTGAAATACGTCACCATCCAGCAATGCAAATTAGGTTTCAAAAAATTAGCTGAGTCAAGTCAAAGCGATCTGATTACTTTATAAGTCTGTCTTGGCACAAAGAATATCAATAGTCAATATGCAATCGGCGTATTTCTGTATTCTTTGATGATTACTTTTCTTGCCATTGAAATAGGTCGAGGTAATAACATACATTTGAATAGAGTGTAGAGAATGTAATAATAAAGTAGTTAGCACTTTATTGTTAAAATATTTACTTTTGCAGCTCCACATTACAGACTTATTGCACCAGTTTTGACGTTTCATACGGTATCATCACTGGATTGAAGAATGACTAAATGTTTTCCGGTAAATGTCAATGTTGCTGCTATTGTTACGTAACATGTTGATCAGCTAATCAATTATAAACGTAAGTATAAGTGTAGTGTATGATAAATGTCCCCGGGAGTTTATGTTTTAGGGCTGTACAACATTTTAAACAGACAGATTTGGACTTTTGTCTGACAATTTTTCCCTTTTTTCACAAAATAATGGTAAATTGTGTAATCTTATCTTATGTTCTTGATTGCAAAAATACGTAAAAGATGATGCAAAGCAATGAAACCGTAAAACGTGAATTTAGGTATCTGAGGCGGGAGATTAGTCTTCCTTCTCCATTTCGGTTTTTCACAGGAGTGAAAAGAAATCTCTAAAACGTATGTATAAATGTGTGTTTGTATCTCATATAACATGTGAATACTGTAAATTACAATGATTGATTACAGTTTTCAAGCTTGAAATAACTACATAAATGAATGAAAGGGGTTTGCCATTCATCAAAAATCTTGTCTGAGGCCAATGTGTGCTCACGGATTAAAAAGAAACATTTTCCAAGTGTGCACATCGAGGCAATTACATCTTGTGAGACCTTCGGACACCAGATCTTGTCCTGTTCCGTGTTATAATTATATGGTAACACGATACAGAGTGGGAAACAGTATTACATTTCTGTGTATAGTAAAAAAGGGTTTGGCTTTGGCCGCTCCGATTACATCCCCACGTAGCATACAGTATACAGGCACATGGCATTAAAGCTTTTGTCAGATATAGTGCATTGAACCGTACACACATTTAATCTTTGTCTCTCTTCATGAATGGCTCTTGTATAAAAATGTGTGAGAGATATCATTTCAGTCCGACCCATCTCAATACGTATGTTTCATGGACAGAAAACTAGGACAATGTAGTCTGTAGCAGATCAAACAACCAAATAGATTTCAGATGGGAGATTAACTCTTCAAAGATAGAAATAAATGGAAAAAGCAATAATATAACAATAACCACAAAAAGGCAGCCACTCACATGACTATTCAATTCAATTAAATATATAATTGTATAGCCATAAATCACAGTGATAATCTCAGAGGACTTTACAAAACCGTTGAAATCGCCAACACAGATCAGAAAATCAAAGAGTTCAAACACAAAGAATAGAGAACACATTGTATTGGTGCATCCATGGTCCAAATGTTGCCCAGACGGTATTTTCTGTCATTAAAAGGTGCCCGATGTAGCTTGAAGTGGGAGAGTCAAAAAACATCTATTCTCCACGGAGAGCCTTTTGTCTCGCCTGGAATGTTTTGTTTGAGACGTGTATGTGTGGTGACTGCTGTTTTTGCAAAGCCATTCGTGTTTGTAAGTAAATACTTGAACGACAACAACGCAATTTCCATGTGATAATTGGATAATAAGAGCTACCACCTGAAAAAATTGCAAGAAAAGTCATAACAGTGGATGTAGAGAGTGAGAGAATCTGCTCTTCATGATCAGAGATTTACATTTTGAACAAACCGTTTAAATTGGACTAGTACCCTTTGTGTTATGGCTCTTTGAAGAATTATGGTTCCCTGATTGGGTGTTGAAAGTATTAAAGCAAATATGAATCTAATTGGAACTCAAGCTGCCTTTTGGCAAAGGTTTAGAGAAATATCTTTGTTCTGCCTCCCACAGAAAGTTACATAAAGTGATTACTGAATGTCCACAAAAGGAATTGTATATAGTCTATTAAATCCAGTGTATCTTTTTGGGGTTTTTAAGTGTGTTGTAACTGTATTATTCATCTAACCTTTTCAATTTCCCAAAAGCGTATGATTCATTTCCAAGTATCTTTGTATAAACATCAAATTTTCCGTCCAATCCAAAACCAGGACAAAACAAGCCCAAAGCGCCACACGTGACCGCGCGCTCATCAATCCTCCTTCTGCTCTCGCACCAATTACGCAAAACCCACCAGTTAATCCATCTAATAATTCATAACAACCCAATCATAGCGCGTCCAGCCTCCAGGATCACGGCTCAGACACGTGGATAGCGAGGTTGATACGTGACTATATACAGGACCATCCAGCCAACGAGTTTTTCTGACGCCAAAACAATAGAAACAATGAAACAATAGCCATGCGCGCAGTCCGTGCTAAATTACGCGTGGAGATGGAGAGGATTGCACGTCACAATATATCATCCTACATTTGTATTAGTTGTGGTTATAGATATGGCGTTGTAACATGCCTAGACACATTATTTATAAAAAATAAAATACAATAAAAATACCACGATACCAACATTCACTATTAGACGCAAAAATGTATCCACACGTACCTCAAAAAAGCGACGTTAGTGCCATTTTCTTTCAGCCGCTACGCTTTCAACTCCATGTTCATCCACAAACAATTACGTGTCTTCAGGAACGATCATTACATTCCACAACCAAAAATAACTCCCGCAAAACCTGCTGCGCGTTTTTTTTTCCCCTTATCCTTCCTTGTGCACAAATCCTGGCTCGCGTCTCGCTTGTTACAGTGCGAGGCTCGTCCAACATTAACCAGCCCTAATGATGGATAAAATGGAAAAGGGGAATAATGTGGCGAGTTTTTGATCCCCGTGTTTACATCGCTTCTGTCCGCTCTGCTCTTTGTGTTCAGCGGAATCCAAGGAGCTGGATGGAGGAGTGAGGTGAAGCTGCAGGGCTGGAGCTGCACTCTGAGGGCGGCGCTGAGATGACCGCGTGCAAAAGATTAGATTAGATTAGATTAGATTAGATTCAACTTTATTATAACAAAGTCAGAACAATGCAACGATTACTACTTACTAATTTACAACACAGATGAATATATTTGCATATAGCCTGTAGCTGATATTGCTAGTACATATAAAAGACCCTATAGTTGAGGGGTGCCCAAACTTTTCGATAATGGGTGGGCCTGATTGTTTTCTGCGTGTCAATGGTCAGACCTGCTTTAGACTGAGATTTGTATTTGTGTGTGTGTGTTTTTAATGTTGAACACACTTTTGTTAAGTTTTTCAGTGTAAAAATAAATTCAACAGTAATCATGTCCTAAATCATTCTTATTGGTTGAAGCTCCATTCTAATCACATGTTTAGTAGGGGGAAAGTAAAACATGTCCCAAAGTATTTAGTTTTAATATTTATGGCCAATTTTATTTTCGGTCACATTCATTATGCATGCACTTAACCCTGTTTGCAACTATAACTGAATTATATGAGCTCCTGAATGAAGGACACTTATTTTTGTAAAGAGCCTGGCTTCCCACAAACCCCTTCCCTAAGCCTTTCTTACATATTTTTCTTGTATGTGTTTCTGTTATTCATTTGAGTAATCCTCTATCTGTAGCGTTTCAGAGCTCCACCTTTTGCCTTTTTCACATCGCATTTCTGAAAAGACTCTAAAGGGTTAATCAAATACAAATGTGTTGTAAAAACTGTAAGTATGTCTTTACAGCAGGTATGTGATTCTTATCCCTCCAGTTTCCCTTTTTCTGATGAGTGATGAATACATGCTAAACGGTGCCAGTATTGGGTCGTGTATTTGAATATATTCGAAAAAAAGTTTTAATTTAACCCACTGTGATAGACTATAGGACAAACACATCGAAGGACAAACACATCGAGTCATGTTGTGTTACTAAAACAAAACAAATACTTAATACAATTATTTCCCCGCCTACTGGTTTGGAAATAATTTGAATATTATTTATTAAAATTGTCAGGGGACGTCTGAGAGCGGCCCTGTCAGTGAGGCTCTTGAGAGCGGCTCCACGTCTGCAGAAATCAACGCGCAACGGGTTAAACCATCACACGTTGTGCAAAGGGGGAAGCACTGGCCACAATTCGCATGGGAACGGTGGACTGAGTGACTCGGGGCCAAGTGTATTGTTGTGGATGAAAAGGAAAGTGCGCGTGGAGGCAAGTAGAAAGACGAGGGGGCTGGGGAGGGGGGGGCGGGGGGAGGCACTACGGGATTGCATAGGAAAAAACAGAAATAGAAATAATCTCTAGCTGTTTATCTTGTGCGCCATGGATTGCGCTGCAGATTATGATACGCTTAATAAACGCCATCGGAGAAAGCGGTTCACGTGCAGGCGGGATTTTTATCCATGAACCCACTACTCTCGCGCGCGCTGTTTACGGATTACGCAACGGAGAAGTAGGGAGGGGGAAAGTCTCTTGTCCGAAGCAGAATAGTTCAGCACCATGGACAGCGCAGCACACCTGTGTCGACAATATTCTATCTTTTTTTGTACATCCCTAAATCTTAACAGTAGTCGTCTCTGGACTTTACAAAGTTGTCGATTCACCAACAATAGATCAGAGAAATAAACGAAAAGGAAATGCAGCAATAACAAACACATCGGAGCCATTGGTCCATAAGGAGCGGGATGACCCTTGTCCACAGGTGCAGATGAAAAAGGCCGGATTTAGGGGTCCCATCATTGCATCATGAAACAGACAATGGGGCAGCGGGTGAATAACAATGAACAGATGACAGCACAAGTCATAATGATGACAGATAAAGTAGAGAGTGGAGAGGATAGTGCCATTCTTCTCCCAGCAAAGTGTCACCATACTGTAAGTGGCTTATTTATATGCACATAGTGAGAGTCAAGAGACAATAGAGTGTGGTATTAAGTGGGAGTAATTATTCTTGAAATGTGTAAAATATGACAAATAGAAAAGGTTGGTATTGAGTCTAATAAATCAGATTCATTGATGTGTTGATCTGTTTGAAGGAGAAATCTGAAATCTAATCATGGCATAAGTTTTATCATCCCATTTTGCATAATTGTGCGTGTTAAAATATGCACAGGTGTGAAGAAATCAGAGAGAAATCGGATTACTTAAATCAGATTGAACTGCTCACATGACATTTCAATCATCTGATAACTCCAGCACTCAGAGAAAATGTTCTTCTAGAGTTAATGGTGACATTTCAGAACCACGGACAGCTCAAAACACCTGTGACTTCACAAACCGGCAGATAATGTGCACGTTCCTGAGTGAATTATAATGGGAGGACAATAATACATGTTTATTTGCACTTTTTTATCTGTATATTGGTGAAGACACATACTAGTGGAAAGATCCCGTTTTAGTTCTAGTTACACTTACAGCAGTTTACATCGTCTTAGTCTTTGTTTAAAAAGTCTTAGTTTGACCTTGATTTATTCAAACTATATGTTATGTATGTAATGTATATATTTTTTCATAATGCATGTTCAATAGCCTCATGTTTAGATGTTGACTTGTCCTCTTCTTGTGTGGATAGACATCGCCCTCTGGTGGAAAAGTCGTGTACCATTACAAAAAACAATATGGACATGTAGTACATGTTCATGTGTGAGAAGGCTGAAAACATATTTTGTAGAAATTAAATGTTCTTTATACTGTAATGTATTGTTCTGTTATGTTGCTCACATTAAACTTTTTTCAAAAAATGTGATTATAATCCATTCTTTATCATCATGTTTTAATCGTTTTGTTTGTCTGTGTTGAATAAGTGATGGGAGTTGGGAGTTTATAGCGTGGGCTTCATCCAACCCTGTTCCAGAACATGTACAAATAAATGTATTCTTCACTTTCAAACACAATGGTTCAGAAAATCTACCTGGTTTAACCGATATTGGTTGGATTGAACAATTTATTGGTCATTTACATCGGTCAAAAGACAGACTATTTATAGATTGGACTCATAACTGCCAACAAGAGTGGTTAAAACAAACTGGTAAAGATCTGTTTTGTAGAGTGCACTTTGGTAAATTTGTGTTGTTCATGTTCTGAAATTAACATTGATACTTCGAACATTCAGATTCATTTCATTTGCCATTTGCAGTAAAAAAAACACATTGGAATACATTAGCAAAAAGTCTCCAGTGTGCACAGACAAATACAGACATAAAACAACATTAAAAGAAAATGTTGGAAACAGATCACACATGTAATAAAACTTCAAGCTTGTATTATAAATATTAATTTCATGATCGTGTTGGCCCATTAAATATTCCCTTAAATAACGTCTCTTTCATTCAGTGTTTGTGGTGATGAAGATGCACCGCAAAAAAGAAAAAAAATATGAGGTATTAATTGCTTGAATCGAGTGGTTTTTCTCCTAAGTTGAGTACATTCTGACAGTTTTAAAACAAAACAAGCCAATGGGACAAAGCCATTTAGTCTCATTTCAAGAACTGCTGCTTTATCTTATCAGTCCAAGGAAGACATTTCTTGTATCTTTTTTAAAAACTAGATCAGTCTTGTCCCATTGGCAAATCTTGTTTTAGTGGCACTCAAAATGTGCTACAATTAATATTTCTGACATTTGTAGCATATTTTTCATCACTTTTTGCAGTGTGGATGTAATCACACATGAATTTGCCCTTTGCTGTTGCACAGTGTCAGTGGGTCAGGGGCTGGGGCTGTAGATAAGAGCAGAACCATTCACACACATCTGCTGCTGTGGACAAACACATGTTTAGACTCTTTCTGATCAGCTTTGTGACGCAATACTGAAGGAGTAAAACAGGAAAACCCATGCGGCACGATGATTCCGATTCCTCATTCCTTTAATTTAACTCTGAAATTATAAATGGTTACTGAAGGACACAGTCTTGAATTATCTTGTTTTTTAGCAAATAAAAAACAAAAGAGGAAGTGAAAATAAAGCAAATCTGGGAAATATATTATATAAAAAAAAAACCACTGTAGCCACAACTGCCCTGGGGCACACTTCCAGAAGAGAGGCAACCAGTCTGCAGGATCTGGCTTTTGTATGGCCACAAGAATTTGTCAAATGGAACATAATTTAAAAGGATAAAAGTATATAAACCGACATTCTATTCAAAGTTATACAAAATATTTATTTTCAGAACTGATGCTGGCCACAGGTTCTATCCTCAGGCCAGACATCTGTGGTCCTTCTGTTTGTTTCTCTCCATGTGTTTCCTGTGGGCAGCATCTACCAAAACACAAACAAAACCTGTCCAAGCCTCTATCAGCATCTGCAGATCTCTGAGAGCGCCTCGCTGATAAAAAAAAAAAAAAATCTCTTATGTCTGAACAGTCTTAACACTGTCTTCTGTTCTCATGGTTCTGTCCTTGTGTCAGTAAGTATAAGTAATGTTTATTTATATAGCGCATTTTACAGACCAAGGTTACACAAAGCGCTTTACAATGTTCAGAGTTCAGATATTGTTCCAATCATTCCACACACGGTGATGACTGAAGCGAGTCGCCGAACACACTGGTGCATCAGCTTCCATTAAACACCATCCATTCACTCACTCTTTTATTTTCATACCTATTGTGCATGTTTTTTAGTGGTATGGGAAACCGGAGCACCCGGAGGAAACACGCAGGCACTCCACTCAGAAAGGCCCTGTTCCGACCGAGATTCGAACACCTTCTTGCAGAGAAGCGAGAGTGCTATCAGTCTCTCAGTCAGATGCAGCCATTATGTTTGCTATGTACAATGGCCAGACACATGTAAGAAGTCTGATCTTGTCATATCTCAGAAGCTAAGCAGAACAACACCGGGTAAGGACTGTGATGGGAGATCTCTGGGAACGCCAGGTGCCACAGTGGGTCAGCTCAGGTTCATAAGTATTGAACTGTCCATAGGCAAGACACAAGCTGTCTGATGCGAGGCAACAGAGGCCAAGGCTGTAACCAGGCCCAGGTCCAAACACTGAGGCGACCGGTCCTTCTCAGACGCTGAACTCAGACTCTGGATAAAACTTACCCCTGATATGCGTGTCCTTTTACTGACTTTGGCCTTTTTAATCGAGCCTCAAATCTATATTATTCAGACAGCATGAATGCTTTAACGGATTTCATGTGATTTTATTGTAAAGCACTTTGATTTTATTGTAATGCACGTTGGTCACCTTGAGTCTTGTAAGGTGTTATAAATAAAAAATGATTGATTGGTTGATATTATTAAAACGTTTATGCCCTGCTCATACTAAATTGAAAACAAAGCAAACATAGATACATGTTTAAAGTCACAGTGTAACTCGCTGCTCTTCTGGCTATAATCACCACCTTACTAAAAGTTATAGTAATCTTTTTATTTTTTTAATCTCTACTCTTTCGTGTATCCCTGTATCCCTCTCCACGTGACCCCCCCCTCCTCCTCCTCCTCCCCCTTCTCCCCTCATTCTCGTGCTGTGGGCATCTGTCTCTTTAAAAGCCTCCTCATCCTCCACTTGACAGCAGCAGCAGCAGCATCCAGCACACTCTTCCTCACTCACGCACACGCACGCACGCACGCAGACCCATCCTCCTCTTCCTCCTATCCGTGTGCGCCTCTCTCTCTCTCTGAACACTCTCCATCTTTGACATCCTGGATGCCTCTCCCCGTTTAGCTCACATCACCGCCGCTTCCTCCTCTTCCTCCTCCTCCTCTTCCTCCCCGCATCCGAGACCCGAAGATCCGCTGCACACACCGCCGCTGCCACCGCCAAAATGGCCGAGCTCAACCTGGGCAAGGGTCTGACCGCGGGGAAAGTCGCTAGCAACGTGCAAAAGAAGCTAACCAGGGCGCAGGAGAAGGTAGGAGACATTTGCGACCCGTGCGTGGAAATAATACGTCGCGAGCGCTGCTGAGGCCTCGTGCGTGTGGCGCAAACAGCGTCGTTCCAACCCTTACTTTGTATTTAAATAAAACACATTTATAATTGTAATATCAATTCGCCATGATATGTTTAGTTTAGCACAAATTCTCTTGTTAAACTGTGATTATCCGGCCTGTGCGTTGAATCAGGTTTGGAGGCGGTGTGGAGTATATGCGAGGGCCCGGATGTGGAGGTCATTGGTGTTTGCAGGCTGTAATAAAGTGTATGTAGAAATGTAATATGTGTGTATTTTAATTTTTACGCTAGATGTGTGTTTTAAGCGGTTTTCACGCGTTTCAGTCGCGTATTAATGCAGTATTGTGATGGAGACGACAGGGGGCGCTGATCGGCTGTCACAGGCGAATGTGTTTAGAGTTGGATAGATCAGATACATGGATCTATAATAAGATCAGATACTATCTCAGTCACTCAAGTCATGAATATTCGTTTTTGAGTCTAAAGAATTACGTTTATGCGATTCTAAGACTACTAACTTATTTATGTATGTATTTATTGATTAATTTGATAGGGACAAGTGTACACAACTAACATGTGAAACACTACAACATTTATAGCCAAGGCTAATTAGCAGTGTTTGTCCCTAGAAGGGCTTTTCACACAATTGAGAAATATTCAATACTTAATGAAAACCACTTGAACGGGAAAACATTTAACCTCTCTCCAGGAATTTTTGAAGGTCTTTGTCAGATACCCTAGTGGCAATGAAGGATGGATCATAGAATGAGGACAAATTTCCCCGGACAATAGTGTACCTTATATCAGGCGGTGGGAGTATACACAGCTGACATAAAAGAGTATTTTTTTAAATTCCTCACTGTGATATTGATATTGGTATTATGGAATGTTATGATACAAAACAATGAAATGTTTTGTATCATAACTAGTGAATGCGCTGCTAAAGCGTTCCAGTTAATTTGTTGCAAAAACAAGAGCAATATTATTCAACTTAACAAACAATAGGATTCTAGAGGATATAACAATAAAAGATTTCTTTTGAAGATAAGCCATATTTTAACATTGTCTGACCGGTGACAGTCAAATCTAATACACATCAAGTGCAAAAATGTCCAATCCGTCAAAAACGATCACAAACATTTTGATGCATGGCACACTATTGATGGATTGGCACAATATATTTAAATATAATATAATATAGATGTCGGAAAACTCAATTTGTTTCTTAACTTTTGTCAGAACCGCTGTCCACCTTCCTACCACTGGGAATGATGAAGATGAAGATGATGATGTGTGTGTATTTCTGTTTGTGTAGTTGGCCAAGTAAATGTAATCCTATTGTTGCCAGAAATAGACACCCTCCTTGACACGCGCCATATGACTCACACATGCTGCTCTACTGACTATGTTACAGATACCATTTGTTTTTGTATTTTTATTAATTGAGAGGTTATTATTGACAAGTTGTATTTGGGTTTCAAAATATCGGGACCATTGCGTCTTTGAATCTAAAATTTGTGTTGATCATGTCAATTTTTTTTGTATAGTAATAGAGAAATGGGCAGGGGTTGGTGGTAGGTGAAACAGAGCTTTGCTGAGGACTGAAGCCATGGATGAGTTACACAAACATGAGCCAATGGAACTAAAACGTTGTGTTAGAGAAGTGTTAATAAAAAATGTGTACAATCCAAGAACATTTAATAAGAGCTAAGCAGCCCAGGGCCTGCTCACCAACAATACGTGGTGCATCCTGTTGGAACTTTCCACTGTGCACAACCTTCGAAAGCATTCTTTTGAAAACAAAGACATGCTGCAGTCAGAGCAACTGTGTTAAAATTCAGACGGAGATTCATATGCCGCAGGAGTTCAAATGGAGTTGTTATCCTTGTATTTTCTCATCTGTGATAAATAATCACAATGTAGAGCTTATGCAGCTTATGCACCAACAATATTTATTTTGATTTTCAGGTTATGCAAAAGCTTGGCAAGGCGGACGAGACCAAAGACGCAGCCTTCGAGGAGTGGGTGATCAACTTCAACAAACAATATGTGAGTAAACTCAAATATGCTCATGTCATTGACTAAATTATAGTAGGGTCAGAAAGTTTAAGTAAAGAATATACCTGTTTAGTTGTAATAATGTCAATCCACAATCCACAAATAATGTCAATAACAAGGATACACTAGTCTGAAGTCTCAAAGCATCCAAGCGTATCCTGTTGTATAGATATGTTGACTCCTTTGGCTCAGAATGAATGTGTTTCAACTGCAGTAGATTTAAGATACATTTGTTTTTCCATTGTTACAGAATGCAATGGACATGCAATAACAGTGGACATTCCAGATCATGGTGGGTGTGGGAGGCTCCTTAGGGCAGATTAATTGGATTGATCAAGCATTAAGTGAATGATGGTAGGGACTAGGGAGCGATGACCTGAGAGGTGAAGCTTTAGCCTTTAGGTCACAGCTCCTCTGATCAGGGGATTTCCGTCGAGGAACAGTATATAAAACATCAATGGAGGCTGTGGAGTCGCTCTTCTTTAGCTGATGCTCATGATTATGCAACCGGGTGAGATAACGTGGAAAAGCGATGGTAGGAGAGCTCAAACAATATGAAAAAGGATAAAAATGCACATTGCTATTTTGTGTGTGTCTTTTATTTATGGACCACATACGTAACGTATCGGGCTGAGGCTCTTCATCAGACATGAATGCCAAGACACAGGGCTGCATTTTAAAAGAGCTCAGAACAGGGCAGAGGGGAGAGGTTCTCCAGGAGCAGAACAGGACACATGTGATCTCAGGCCGCTGTGTTTGGGCTGCCTTTTCAGAGATCACAGTGAGGAAAACAATGTCATTAATTTGTGTTAAGCCTGATGAACAATGGGACATCATATCATTTTGGAGGATACAAATCACGATTATCTTACCGCAAAAATTGTCATCCCATCCTTACTCTGGAGTCCGCGGATCTTTCTGTTTTGTGTGTAACCATTCGGAGCGCAGCATCGCCTCCGGACTTCAGACCTAATGTGAACTGTGCAGAGTCCAGATCACGGCTCATGTTACTGCCTGCACACGTGTTTGAGGAGAGACAGAACCTCACCATCAACTTTTAAAGTGCTTTCACAGTAGTCATAGGAAGTGAGTTCATACAGATAGGATTAGAAAACCTTTAATTTGGCTACAGTACGTTTGCAGAGAAGCATGTGGACCAGAATAAGTAGAAAATAAAGGTTGTCAGTGGATACTTTGATATTATTACAGTATTACACGTATTACTACTACTGTACCAAGACACAAAATATCCATAACCTTTTGTCTCAAGAGAAATGGTTTGACAATATAAACTGATTATAAAGCCAGATTTTTTCATTTGTTCATTACCGATGCATGAGAGTCTAAAGACAGTGATGATCCAGGACATTTAGGGACATTTATTAACATTTCCTGCTCCCTTTGGACCAACGGCTTCTATGTGATTGTTATTATCGCCTTTGCATTGGGTTCGAACTCTTTGATTCTGTGATCTGCCGTTGGCGTTGAATCCTCAACATCTCCCACATGCACCTTTACAATGTTTGTATACTAAAAATATAAAAGAACTAAGATTATAATTGGTAATGACGGCTTGAAGGGTTTCAGTGTCAGTCGATTTCTGTGACAATACACTTTTGGTTGACAGTAAATCCAGCTCTATGCTCAAACATAGGCATTTGTGCCAATATGCTGTCTTAGTAAGGCTCTGAGGGAGTGACAAAGAAAACAACATGTAAATAGTGCAAACAAATTTTCTCATATTTATAACATTTATAACATTTATTTCACCTGGATTGATCTCTGAATCTCTTCTTCAGGGGCTATTGAACATGTTTTATTTATTCATATGAATAAATAAATACATGTCACAATCTGAAAATTATTATTTAAAGCTACATATTGTGAGAATTAATAAATATATATTATAATTATACAACATTTATACGATGAAGGGGGCAGAGCCACAGCGAAACAAATGCAACGGACTCGTGCAGACTGCTTTCACCTAGTTACAGTCTATTTTGACAGTTTTGATCCTCCATACCCACTTGCTGTTTTGTTACGTCTATAAACATCTAAGAATAAGGTACCAATTAGTAACTTTGATGTTAACAGAAAATAGGTACATTTATTTCAGTCACCTCTGCACTTGATAGGACTTGTATTCTAATCGGTGTGTCCCAGACCTTTTGAATGAGCCCTTGACATTCAGTGCAGATAATTTGACATAGATGCTCACCTGTTTTGATCTTTGTTTGGTCTGTTTTTTTACTTTGAGGACCCATCGATGCACTCCCACATCTGTGGATGTACTTTAAGTTATGAACTAAAGTGAACAGTAAAACAGTGTCAGAAAACACAACAAGATGTAATTCAAAAATTCCTTTGCAAAAACAGATCTCCATTTTGAGAATTTGTCAAAAAAGTTGTATTCCTTCTTGTAACGAGCTGCAACACGTTTTGTTATTACCAGTACATTTGAAAGGATTTGCTCAAGAAGGGGTAAAACTTTATTTGTATTGCTCTGAAATAGAGCTGCTTTCAAAAAAACTGCTTTGGAAAGAGCAAATTGTTAGACTTTGAAATATTTTCTCGTAGCATTTATCTGTTTTTTTATTTTTTGCAAATGATCTATTAAATTATAATTTGTTTGTGTAGACAGAAGGCAGTAAACTTCAGCGGGACCTGCGAGCGTACCTGGAGGCCGTCAAAGGTAAACTGCTGAGATGATGGTCATTCATGGAACAAACGATGCTTTTATTTCTGAAATGAAACTGTGTCCTTCTCAGCCATGCACGAGTCGTCCAAGAACATCCAGTCCTGCCTGGCCGACATGTACGAGCCCGAGTGGAAGGGCCACAGGAAGGTGGACTCCATTGTGGAGGTTCGTCAGTTTATCTTCAGATGCACAGTGTCAACAATCTTTGCATCAGTCATGTTTGATAAGTTCACTTGATGTTATGAACCGGTTATAATATTTATTTATTTCATTATTTGTTTGAGAGAGACCAGAGAGAGACCAGAGAGAGAGAGACCAAAGAGAGAGACCAGAAATAGAGACCAGAGAGAGAAACCAGAGAAGGAGACCAGAGAGAGACCAGAGAGCGAGACCAGGGAGAGCGAGACCAGAGAGAGAGATTCCAGAGAGAGAGATACCAGAAAGAGCGCGACCAGGGAGAGCGAGACCAGAGAGAGCGAGACCAGAGAGAGCGAGACCAGAGAGAGCGAGACCAGAGAGAGCGAGACCAGAGAGAGCGAGACCAGAGAGAGCGAGACCAGAGAGAGCGAGACCAGAGAGAGCGAGACCAGAGAGAGCGAGACCAGAGAGAGCGAGACCAGAGAGAGCGAGACCAGAGAGAGCGAGACCAGAGAGCGAACAGAGCGAGACCAGAGAGCGAGACAGAGAGAGCGAGACCAGAGAGCGAGACCAGAGAGCGAGACCAGAGAGAGACCAGAGAGACCAGAGAGCGAGACCAGAGAGCGAGACCAGAGAGCGAGACCAGAGAGCGAGACCAGAGAGCGAGACCAGAGAGCGAGACCAGAGAGCGAGACCAGAGAGCGAGACCAGAGAGCGAGACCAGAGAGCGAGACCAGAGAGCGAGACCAGAGAGAGCGAGACCAGAGAGCGAGACCAGAGAGCGAGACCAGAGAGCGAGACAGAGAGCGGGAGACCAGAGAGCGAGAGACCAGAGAGCGAGACCAGAGAGCGAGACCAGAGAGCGAGACCAGAGAGCGAGACCAGAGAGCGAGACCAGAGAGCGAGACCAGAGAGCGAGACCAGAGAGCGAGACCAGAGAGCGAGACAGAGAGAGCAGAGACCAGAGAGCGAGACCAGAGAGCGAGACCAGAGAGCGAGACCAGAGAGCGAGACCAGAGAGCGAGACCAGAGAGCGAGACCAGAGAGCGAGACCAGAGAGCGAGACCAGAGAGCGAGACCAGAGAGCGAGACCAGAGAGCGAGACCAGAGAGCGAGACCAGAGAGCGAGACCAGAGAGCGAGACCAGAGAGCGAGACCAGAGAGCGAGACCAGAGAGCGAGACCAGAGAGCGAGACCAGAGAGCGAGACCAGAGAGCGAGACCAGAGAGCGAGACCAGAGAGCGAGACCAGAGAGCGAGACCAGAGAGCGAGACCAGAGAGCGAGACCAGAGAGCGAGACCAGAGAGCGAGACCAGAGAGCGAGACCAGAGAGCGAGACCAGAGAGCGAGACCAGAGAGCGAGACCAGAGAGCGAGACCAGGAGCGAGAGCGAGACCAGAGAGCGAGACCAGAGAGCGAGACCAGAGAGCGAGACCAGAGAGCGAGACCAGAGAGCGAGACCAGAGAGCGAGACCAGAGAGCGAGACCAGAGAGCGAGACCAGAGAGCGAGACCAGAGGAGACCAGAGCGAGACCAGAGAGCGAGACCAGAGAGCGAGACCAGAGAGCGAGACCAGAGAGCGAGACCAGAGAGCGAGACCAGAGAGCGAGACCAGAGAGCGAGACCAGAGAGCGAGACCAGAGAGCGAGACTAGAGAGCGAGACCAGAGAGAGCGAGACCAGAGATTGAGACCAGAGAGCGAGACTAGAGAGCGAGACTAGAGAGCGAGACCAGAGAGAGGGAGACCAGAGAGCGAGACCAGAGAGCGAGACCAGAGAGCGAGACCAGAGAGCGAGACCAGAGAGCGAGACCAGAGAGCGAGACCAGAGAGCGAGACCAGAGAGCGAGACCAGAGAGCGAGAGAGCAGACGAGAGCGAGACCAGAGAGCGAGACCAGAGAGCGAGACCAGAGAGCGACCAGAGAGCGAGACCAGAGAGCGAGACCAGAGAGCGAGACCAGAGAGCGAGACCAGAGAGCGAGACCAGAGAGCGAGACCAGAGAGCGAGACCAGAGAGCGAGACCAGAGAGCGAGACCAGAGAGCGAGACCAGAGAGCGAGACCAGAGAGCGAGACCAGAGAGCGAGACTAGAGAGCGAGACCAGAGAGACAGAGAGCGAGACCAGAGATTGAGACCAGAGAGCGAGACTAGAGAGCGAGACTAGAGAGCGAGACCAGAGAGAGAGACCAGAGAGCGAGACCAGAGAGCGAGACCAGAGAGCGAGACCAGAGAGCGAGACCAAGAGAGAGCGAGACCAGAGAGCGAGACCAGAGAGCGAGACCAGAGAGCGAGACCAGAGAGCGAGACCAGAGAGCGAGACCAGAGAGCGAGACCAGAGAGCGAGACCAGAGAGCGAGACCGAGAGCGAGACCAGAGAGCGAGACCAGAGAGCGAGACCAGAGAGCGAGACCAGAGAGCGAGACCAGAGAGCGAGACCAGAGAGCGAGACCAGAGAGCGAGACCAGAGAGCGAGACCAGAGAGCGAGACCAGAGAGCGAGACCAGAGAGCGAGACCAGAGAGCGAGACCAGAGAGCGAGACCAGAGAGCGAGACCAGAGAGCGAGACCAGAGAGCGAGACCAGAGAGCGAGACCAGAGAGCGAGACCAGAGAGCGAGACCAGAGAGCGAGACCAGAGAGCGAGACCAGAGAGCGAGACCAGAGAGCGAGACCAGAGAGCGAGACCAGAGAGCGAGACCAGAGAGAGCGAGACCAGAGAGAGCGAGACCAGAGAGAGCGAGACCAGAGAGCAGGAGACCAGAGAGCGAGACCAGAGAGCGAGACCAGAGAGCGAGACCAGAGAGCGAGACCAGAGAGAGCAGAGACCAGAGAGCGAGACCAGAGAGAGCGAGACCAGAGAGAGGACAAGACGAGACCAGAGAGCGAGACCAGAGAGCGAGACCAGAGAGCGAGACCAGAGAGCGAGACCAGAGAGCGAGACCAGAGAGCGAGACCAGAGAGCGAGACCAGAGAGCGAGACCAGAGAGCGAGACCAGAGAGCGAGACCAGAGAGCGAGACCAGAGAGCGAGACCAGAGAGCGAGACCAGAGAGAGCGAGACCAGAGAGCGAGACCAGAGAGCGAGACCAGAGAGCGAGACCAGAGAGCGAGACCAGAGAGCGAGACCAGAGAGCGAGACCAGAGAGCGAGACCAGAGAGCGAGACCAGAGAGCGAGACCAGAGAGCGAGACCAGAGAGAGAGACCGAGACCAGAGAGCGAGACCAGAGAGCGAGACCAGAGAGCGAGACCAGAGAGCGAGACCAGAGAGCGAGACCAGAGAGCGAGACCAGAGAGCGAGACCAGAGAGCGAGACCAGAGAGCGAGACCAGAGAGCGAGACCAGAGAGCGAGACCAGAGAGCGAGACCAGAGAGCGAGACCAGAGAGCGAGAGCGAGACCAGAGAGCGAGACCAGAGAGCGAGACCAGAGAGCGAGACCAGAGAGCGAGACCAGAGAGCGAGACCAGAGAGCGAGACCAGAGAGCGAGACCAGAGAGCGAGACCAGAGAGCGAGACCAGAGAGCGAGACCAGAGAGCGAGACCAGAGAGCGAGACCAGAGAGCGAGACCAGAGAGCGAGACCAGAGAGCGAGACCAGAGAGCGAGACCAGAGAGCGAGACCAGAGAGCGAGACCAGAGAGCGAGACCAGAGAGCGAGACCAGAGAGCGAGACCAGAGAGCGAGACCAGAGAGCGAGACCAGAGAGCGAGACCAGAGAGCGAGACCAGAGAGCGAGACCAGAGAGCGAGACCAGAGAGCGAGACCAGAGAGCGAGACCAGAGAGCGAGACCAGAGAGCGAGACCAGAGAGCGAGACCAGAGAGCGAGACCAGAGAGCGAGACCAGAGAGCGAGACCAGAGAGCGAGACCAGAGAGCGAGACCAGAGAGAGCGAGACCAGAGATTGAGACCAGAGAGCGAGACTAGAGAGCGAGACAGAGAGCGAGACCAGAGAGCGAGACCAGAGAGCGAGACCAGAGAGCGAGACCAGAGAGCGAGACCAGAGAGCGAGACCAGAGAGAGCGAGACCAGAGAGAGCGAGACCAGAGAGCGAGACCAGAGAGCGAGACCAGAGAGCGAGACCAGAGAGCGAGACCAGAGAGCGAGACCAGAGAGCGAGACCAGAGAGCGGAGAACAGAGAGCGAGACCAGAGAGCGAGACCAGAGAGCGAGACCAGAGAGCGAGACCAGAGAGCGAGACCAGAGAGCGAGACCAGAGAGAGCGAGACCAGAGAGCGAGACCAGAGAGCGAGACCAGAGAGCGAGACCAGAGAGCGAGACCAGAGAGCGAGACCAGAGAGCGAGACCAGAGAGCGAGACCAAAGAGCGAGACCAGAGAGAGCGAGACCAGAGAGCGAGACCAGAGAGCGAGACCAGAGAGCGAGACCAGAGAGCGAGACCAGAGAGCGAGACCAGAGAGCGAGACCAGAGAGCGAGACCAGAGAGCGAGACTAGAGAGCGAGACGAGAGAGCGAGACCAGAGAGAGCGAGACCAGAGAGCGAGACCAGAGAGCGAGACCAGAGAGCGAGACCAAAGAGCGAGACCAGAGAGAGCGAGACCAGAGAGCGAGACCAGAGAGCGAGACCAGAGAGCGAGACCAGAGAGCAGAGACCAGAGAGCGAGACCAGAGAGCGAGACCAGAGAGCGAGACCAGAGAGCGAGACCAGAGAGCGAGACCAGAGAGAGCGAGACCAGAGAGCGAGACCAGAGAGCGAGACCAGAGAGCGAGACCAGAGAGAGCGAGACCAGAGAGAGCGAGACCAGAGAGCGAGACCAGAGAGCGAGACCAGAGAGCGAGACTAGAGAGCGGGAGACCAGAGAGCGAGACCAGAGAGCGAGACCAGAGAGCGAGACCAGAGAGCGAGACCAGAGAGCGAGACCAGAGAGCGAGACCAGAGAGCGAGACCAGAGAGCGAGACCAGAGAGCGAGACAGACCATATTGTTTCTTCAAAAGACATGGAGATTTTTTAGACACTGTTTTGACCTTGTGTTTGTGTTCTGTGCAGGACTGTGACGTGCTGTGGGAGGACTACCATCAGAAGCTGGTGGACCACGCCCTTATCTCCATGGATACCTACCTGGGACAGTTCCCTGACATTAAGGTATACACGCTCCACTGCTGGTTCTGTTTGTGACTGAGCAACCAGATTTGTAAGCTTTAGTCTTGGTCTTGATTGGTACAAGGCATCCATGGCTGCGTTGATGGATCTCGGGACAATCTGGGAGCAAACGCTTTCATAGTTTGATGATTATAATATAGCCTACTTTACAATCTTGTCAAAACAATGATTATTTGTCCAGGCTCGTATTGCCAAAAGAGACAGAAAGCTGGTGGACTATGACAGTGCCCGACATAACTATGCTGCCACACACAAAGCTAAGAAAAAGGATGGAGGCATCAAACTCACAAAGGTAAGACCTGCTATTTTTAAACAAGCCCTGCACATATGGGACTTCTGTGATTTTTACAGTTTTAAAGCTGTTTCCAATAAACCTTTGTCCTTTCTCACACAGCCGTCCACTCTGCTGGAGAGAGCCACCCCCGGCTGGGCTCAGGGAATCCTGTCTGCTCACAATGTGGCCCAGAGCAGCCTGTCCAGGAGCCAGGTACTCCCCACACTCTTTGGACCTCTGCGGTGCACTTAGATTCTACATGATGGTTTTCTGTCCATATTAAACACTATAACATCAGTTTATATGTAAACAGCCTTGAGGGCAGGGTTTGAGGGTCTGTTGTTCATGTTAATAAATAAAGTGTGTGCACATCAGGCTGAGGAGGAGCTGGAGAGAGCTCAGAAGGTCTTTGAAGAGATCAACCTGGACCTGCAGGAGGAGCTGCCTTCACTTTGGAACAGGTCTGTGCCTTGTTTCACAAATAAATACCTTCAACTTCTCTATCATATCAGGATTATGAAAGAAGTACTGTTGTTAAAATGTGGTGGATAAAACACAGAATATTACTTGATATATTGCGTCACACACACCTGCATATGAAAGCCAGATCCCATAAGACCTCTGAGGCTAAGCAGGGTAGGGTCTGGTTAGTGGCGTGATGGGAGACCTTTGGGAACTCCAGGTGTCACAGGAAAAATGTGTATTGATAACACATAAATGTGGCATTATTGTGAACTATTGACCCTGATATTCATCCTTTATGACCATGTATTATTTGTGTGTGTGTGTGCATGTTTTTGTGTGTGTGCGCATGTGCGTGCAGCCGTGTGGGCTTTTACGTCAGCACCTTCCAGAGCCTTGCCGCATTCGAGGAGAAGTTCCACCACGAGATGAGCCGGGTGAGTCTGGGAGGCTCACATAAAGGTTACCATGGAAACATCCTCCTCATACGTTCTGCTTCCTCCTGCAGCTGGACCAGGACCTCTACGATGTTTTGGTGAAACTGGAGAACACAGACACAAGCAGGTTAGTGCATATTTCACTGATCATGTCTTGGTGTGTGGTTTGGTATCTGCAGACTCTTGAAAAGATTGTTTAAAGTTCTAGACTAGTAAGGTTTTTAGTCTATTTGTTGGTGTTTTATAGCACCGTAAACTATTTTAATACAGTATACAGTATAAATTTTTCCATTGCCGCATCTAAATCTGAAACCGTTCCGATGAATGTTCGCTTCCCTCAACAAAAAAATAAAGGCCTTTTTTGGATCTTTTGGAACAATTGAAATATAAAAATGGCTTGTTAAGGAATCTCCTTTTTGTACCAATAGAATCACATTTTCATTAGTTAGGTCTGCTAATAGAAGAGGGGAACAATAACATCTGTGTGTCTGGTATTTATTATGGTAAAGTTTGAGGTTATTATTATTTTGGATTTTTCCAAAAGGCCCATAAGGAAAATGTATGCATTATTACTAGTGCAGGAACCAGAAACGGGATCCGGAACCCCCCGCCCCCGCTACTGTTTGGTTTGTGTTTTGCCCGCTAGCTCTCTGTGAAAGAGACTACTGGTTTGTCTCGCGCGAAATGCCAAAATGTATGTAAACAAACTTCTGGGTGGAAGCTTTAGTGTCAAAAAGTTGCCAGATCGGTCGACTGACTAGACCAGAGGATCTGTGTATTCTCGGTGTGAACTTGTTATCACCGTAGCACATGTTCATAGACCCTTAGTTACATTAGGTAACTGGGGTTTCTCTTTATCACTCTATTTTGATCCCTTAGAAAGGATAGTTGAAGGGGCTTTTTTTTTTTTTTTTTTTACCAATTATACATATTATTCATCTGTTTATTGACATTTTGCATCAAGTGTGAGTGAAATATGACACATTCTAAATCAACCCTTTTCCATGTTGATAAGAGTACTAACATGATAATTCAAGGGACATAAAGAATAGATACACATTTGCAATTGATAGCGAGTTAACTATGACATTCAAGCGATTAATCGTGAATACTTGTGATATAATGGAAATTAATCTAACACCAGGTAAAACCTTTTAAATAATCATAAATTCATTAGTAGCTTATTCTTTAGATCTATTTGCAGCATATACTAAACCAGAAATATGACTCTACGTGGTATAGCGAGATTCAAAAGGTAAATCTAACAACATGGATCATACATTATATTATATTAACATGGCGTCGCCCTGAACCTTGCAGCAGGACAGGTAACCGGGACGCGGCGTCGTTGGGAGCCAACCGGAGGTAATGGTGGTAACATGTGACAACATCACTTTCTGTCTGTCCACGTCTCACTTTCGAGAATTGTCCGCGTCTCACTTTCGAGAAATGTCTTTAACGTCACGTCTGCTAATGTGCTAGTGCTGACATGTTTCTGAGCAGACTGTTTTTGGTGCTTCAGAACTGCACATGTTTAACGTACATTTTGAGCCTCTATTCATTGTTTTATTCAATTCAATTTGTTTTTATCGCCCTGAAATCACAACAGCCGTTCTCTCAAAGGGCCTCACAGAATTGTTAATTCGCCAACAGAAGAGCATAAGATTAAATCATTAGAAAACACATAGAAATGCAAGAATAAATCAGTTAAAAGTCATTGGTCATAAAAGTTCATAAATGTCCTTTGACCCTTTTGCATCGGCCAGAAACAAACTCAATATTTTGTTTGCGTCACACAATCTAGTTATAAATACATATTCAATAATCCTTTTTGACTTTTACCTAACAGATAAAATCCAAGCTCTCAACATCGATCAATGTGATTTACCTTTCTATATTGTCTTGTGTGTTGCTTTAATCATTTATTTATTTTTCAATGAAAGAGAATGGGAAGCAGAACCACCCAGAGCAAAACTTGTGTTCTTGATGACTTTCCATCCCTAATGTACAGTCTACAGGGGCAAATAGTAAGTAAGTAAGTAATTTTTTTTTTATATAGCGCATTTTACTGACCAAGGTCACCTAAAGCACGGTGGCTGAGTGGATAGCACTCTCGCCTCTCAGCAAGAAGGTCCTGGGTTCGAATCCCGGCCGGACCAGGGCCTTTCTGAATGGAGTTTGCATGTTCTCCCCGTGTCTGCGTACGTTTCCTCCGGGTACTCCGGTTTCCCCTACCACTAAAAATATGTACAATAGGTCTGGCATGCGCCTCCTGTTCGGCGACCCCGCTCCCATCTCTGTGCGGAGTGAGAGGACAAGTGCCCAAAAAAAAAAAAATAACAATTGTAAACCGCTTTGTGACTCTGGTCTGTGAAAGGCGGTATATAAATAAAGCTTACTTACTTACTACTTACTACTAAAGCGCTTGACTATGTTCAGAGTTCAGATATTGTTCCAATCACTACACACATGGAGATGACGGAAGCGATTCGGCGAACACATCCAAGCCCCCAATCAACACCATTCACTCTCTCATTTACATTCATACCTATTGTACCTGACTATAGTGGTAGAGGAAACCGGAGCACGCGGAGGAAACCTACCCAGACACATAGAGAACACGCAACCTCCACTCAGAGGCCCAGTTCCGACCGGGATTCGAACCCAGGAACTTCTTGCTGATAACCGAGAGTGCCCAAATATTGGATAGCAGAGGAAATGCAAATGTTTCCTGAAGTTGACAATTGCAGTAATTATTTTTTTAACAATTCAGTTTTAAACTTTTATACAAAAACAGTACACCTCTCCCCCTCTTTTGCTCTTTTTCTCTATCTTTCTTTGTTTCCTCCATGTACCTCTTTAGTATGTATTGTTTTTTTTACAGAAGTTTTTACAGAATCTGGTAAGTTAAAAAACAGTAACCGTTACACGGAGATACACAGTGCTTTTAACGTACATTTAGGCACATCAATTCCAGAAGCTTAATAAAACAACACATTAACTTCAATGAGGGCCGTGATCAAAAAGATACTTGTTTGAACGCTTGAATGTGTTCTGCTTTGAAACGCAGATTGAACATGTGCCGTTCTGGAGCTGTCTTTTGTTCTAACGCTGAATGCTCTCTCCACTCTGAGTGTGAGGAGGCTGCGGGTCCGTCTTGCATGGCACACACTCCACAGGACCCGAGCAGCCGCATGAAGACCTCTGTGATGTGCCCGAGCTCTAACGCAGCATGCTAACCCTCTCTGTAGCCTCATCTAAATCGACTTGAACTATTTCCTTCTGTTGACCACATTCACTCGCATAGAGATGTTTAAAATCATAGCGTTTTTATGTTGTGTTTAGTGGGAAGGAGGCGACGAACCACACGCTCAGGCCAGGAGGACCACCGCCCATACCCAAGTCTCCATCCAAGGTAGGATTTCATCATTAATCATTTATGTGTGTGCGTGCGTGTGTGTGCATGTAGATTGAATGGAGTTGGTTCCTCCAAACCCCTTTAAGTTATGTAATTCTGTTTATTTTTTGTCTTGTTTTATTTTGAATGAAGAATAAATAATTACTTTCTACTTAATCAGTGTATTTTTCACTTTTTAAAATCCCATTTAAAGTAGCCTGGTATCACACCATAGTACAAATTACATTTCTTAAATGCAGGGAAATGATGATTGACTGGAGTGTACGGATGGCTAAGGCCAGACTACTGTACATTTAAAAGTGATGATACAGTAGATCTTTTCTTTGCTTGTTGGTGTACAACTGATTATTCATAAGTATTGCCTCGTGTATTGGTTACATGAACAGTTTCAATACAAAGCAGCATGAATGTGAGAATCCTATTAGTAAATGTAGCATACTTGTAGCTTTTAAGGGTGAACTTGTGAATATTTATGACATTTGGTGAGATAGTACGAGCAAGTGGTATTGTGTAGGAATGTGACTCAATAACAAAATTAAAGCGGGCGTGGAACAGAGATGACTTCTAAATTAATTTCTAAATGCATCTCTTTCTGAAATCAATGCGTGTTGTGATTTTTTGTTGCAAATCCTTATTAGGTCGAAGTGAACACTAGTGCGGTACCTTGACAGTGTGCTCTTTGTGTGCGCTGCAGCTGAGGCCAGCAATGCCTCCTCCTCCAAAGGTGACGCCGTCTACAGAGATGAAGACAGAAAATATCATTAACCTGTTTGACGCGGCCAATGCCCCCGACATCAGCGTCACGTCTCCCTCAGAGGTCAGTGCTCAGTCCTTTCTGTTCATTCAGCAGTGGAAAATACAAACCGCTATGTCCTTTTGTAATACCGAGGTATGAAAAGATATATGTTTTAGACCAGAATGCTGCAACTCCGTTGTTTCTGTCGGCCTTCTCTATAACTCTTTATCAGGACTGCAAACATACTCTGAGAGAACAGCCCTGGATCGGTGGTAGTGACCTGTGCAGTAGTGTGACCCAATGTTTCACGCTAAAATAATTATTAATGTAGACTTTGCAGTAAAATATGTGTCACTACGATGCAGACCAGGAAGCAGCAGGACGAATAATATTTTCTCTGTGGGCGACAATTGACATAAAATTGTTTTCTTAGTTGACAAAGCTATCTACAAATTCTCTTCTCCTTCTAATGAAGGAAACACATTGCACAAGTTTAGTTTAATGTTTAATGTTGAGATGGGTCAATATCTTATTTTGAAGATGAAATACTGTAGTTCCAAGTCTAAACGTGTCTTTGATGGTTTAGGATAGACTGTTGTTTCATTCATTTTACAGACATGAGTAGAACAAACACTGCTCTCTCATTTGAGTATTTTACAGTAAACTACTGCAACTCATTGGTACAAGTACGAGGAGTTTGTTCCAAAGTGCTGAGTGTCTAATGAAATGACAGACTGAGGCGGGTTTCGAAGCACACATGCCCGTTGGCCCCTTTATTCCAGTTTCAGAGTTTTCCAGGCAGAATGAAAACAGGGGATGCAATATATAACAATTTACATCACATCACGTCACATCTCATCAAAAGAGCCAACCCAGGAGTTCGTATAGTCACAACAAGGAGGAGTAACAGGAGCATACAGACCTGTTAAAGGGGTCCATGGAGGTTTGGTCTTTTTTGACCAGAAATACTCTTGAGAAAGTTTGAACTACGCATCACTTTGTGAAGATGAATGGACAAGAGAGACAGGAACAAAGCATATTTTAATGATTCTCAAAAATTGTTTATTTTGATTCTCTTTGATTTTAATCAACAACAACTGTAGAAAGTGTAATCCCTCATTCGTCCTCAACTCATTCAGGGTAGTGTAGTCATTAATATGTTTCTTGTTTATCAACACTCATGTATGCATTGGAACTGGTCCATGGTCCGAGCAAAGCTTTAGTCAAACTTTACTCTTCCCTGGACCTGGAACCCCTTCATGTCTGTGACCCCACCCTGTCTGTCTGTGGTGAGAACCCGCCCCTGGTGTGTGACTCCGCCCTCTTCCTCTTGTTGTCGTTGTGCTCAGCCTGTACCCAGCAGCCTGTTGGACATGGACCTGGACTCATTCAGTGCAGCAACCTCCAGTGTGGCGCAGGTGATAGGTCCAGGCATGAACTCTCACAGGGCATCCCAAAGCAGGGCAGGCTTCACAAGACATTTTACACCATTCACAAGACCAGAATGAAAATGGTCGGTGAAGTAGAAGTATTCCAGTGGAACCATTCATGTTCAAATAAAAAATCACGTACATTATGTGACACTACTATAAACTAAACAACAATATTTCTGTTATTGTACTACTGCACCTACAGAATTACAATGAATTAAATATAAAATAATAAATCAATACTACCCCAGAATACAGCATACTATTTTTATTAACTATCAACATTGAGAGTTCATGTGTTGCTTTTTTATGATTTCAAAATGTCTTGTGAAAGTGCACTGTGAGTTGCGTTGTCTTATAGACTTGGTGATGGATACTGGCATGATGCTGAGACGGAGCTGAACCTGCTTTAAAGAGAGCACTACTTCTGTTTACTCAAAAGTTAGCATGTGCCCTGCTTTGGTCTGACCACTCACCACTGGATATAGTGAGCAGATCCTGCTTCTTTCTCTTGGAGTGGTAGACTGATAGACTAGTAGCTTCTTAGGCTGTAGGTTTATAGCATGGACTCAAGGTTCCTCATCCTGGTCACAGTGTGATGTTTGTCTCACTCTTCACTCTTCTGTTCGCAGGCTGCAAACTGGGACTCCTGGGTAAGCATGCGCTTGATTTTAGGCACATCACATTTGTGCCATAATAATGATCCTCCGTTTGGATTGTTTGTTTTTTAAACACGAGTGGAGAAAGTGTCTCTTCACGTATTAAAGTTCTGGTCCTTTTTCTATATATCTTCCTGGTTTTCAGTCTTTGTCTGTTTTTGTCTTTAATTTATGGATAGAGAGAAACAGCGCTGCTCTGTGTGGCCATAACCATGTCCATGTTTCAGTCAAGCAGAGCTGTTTCTCTAAGTATTTTTATGTGCCTGCTTTTGTGTTTTGTCTTGTGCTAGGTACAGTATATCAACTTTAGTTAGACCTTTTACTTTTGCCAATTCAGTCTTACCACTACCTGCAAGTAGAATTTAATATGCGTCAAACTTAAAGATGCTGTGCCTGAATATCTACCTAAAACACTGACCCAGGAACCCTCCCTGGATCAGTTTAATTTATTGTGTTTATCAACCCTTTCCATAACTTTAAAGTCACTTTAATTTGTGACTTCTCGTTAACACACCTGTTTGTATAAACTGCCATTGAATGAATCAGACATCATTCTGCTTATTTACTATGACAATTATTTGTTTTACTGGACCTCGAGTTCAAAAATACAAATGAATTGAGTGAATCAATTTAATTACCAAACAGAGCTCCTAATAGATCTTCCCAAATAAAAAATGTTGACAATTTGACCACAATTTGAACCATAAGAAAAGGTAAATAGTAACTTTCTCCTCAAGTACATGACAAACCCTGGAACAGCATCTTTAAGATAATTTTGCTTTCAATAGAATAGGAATATACTTTTGTTTTAAACATTCCCTGAAGGCTGAATTGAGTGTTGGTTCCAATCCTCCCTGTCTGTCCATGTCTCGTCTCTGCTCACACATGGAACACACAGGGACGAGCTTTCCTCCCTCTTTCCGTGCTCATGCCCGCTCCTCTACCCTCCGCTACCCTCCGCATCCATGAACTAACACCACAACTGTAAGAGAGAAGGAACATGGAATGAGAGTGCAGTTGAACTCTTACAAAACGCGCCGTTTCTCCATCTGAACATAGAACCACTCACAGAAGAAGCAGCCTCTATCTTCGGATGGAAAAAAAACTCGCTCCGACTTTAGTTTCCTGCTTCTACCTGCCACCTCCTCCCCCTCTTCATCTGTCTTTGAGTTTTTCCTTCTGAGCCGAGGTCTATCTTCTGATGATCTGATCTCATCTACCATGGAGGTCTTCAGACGATGTCCATGGCATCTCTCCTGCTCCTCTTGTAACGCATACAGTCCTAACCTTGTAGCGATTAGAACCATCTAATCCCTCATTCATAAAGTTGGTGACACTTCATCTGAGGGTATGCGCATAAACGGCTTACAAGCTGCTAATTTGTATCATGTCAGTGGTTAATTCAATGTTCATTCAGTCTGGTTCAGTTTGGTTCTTTTGTTATTTGTAACAAAACAGCTGCTTCTTAAATCTACAGTATAAGTCCAGTGTTATAGGCTACAGTACGTGTATATGGACTAGTAGCACTTTTACATGATTTCATTATTTTCAAAAGAGGTTTAGGTTTTTAAGGCCCCAAGCATCACACTATACAAAACTTCTGGACTGTTTTGGCATCTGAAACATGATCATCTTTAGCCTATTTTGTGTCATTGTTTATTACTCTTAGCTGTCAGCACTCAAGTCACCATACATGCATATCTTACAACTAACTTTGTTATGGGCTGAATTGAAAGCAATATAACACACCACAACAGCTTCACATTTATATTGTAGTTTATTTAATTACACTTTAATTTCATTTAAGTGAAATAATGACTGAATTACTGTAAGTTAGAGATTGACAGTTTTTATTCGGAAAACATAACACACAGAACAACAATCATTTGTTGCCACTTCAACTTGTGTTTATTGCAGGAACAATCTGGTTAAGCATAGTGTCTAAACACATCACTCCTCTCAGTATGATGCTGAGACATTATTGTATATGAATGCCTCAACATCAGTCTAACCTGCCGTAATACCTGCTAAGAAGTACAGATGATGGGTGAGAAACCTTCCTTTGATTTGACTAATCCCTGTACGACTGAGAGCTTACACACACTTAATACGTTTTATATAGTGAATACAATATTATACACTCCGTTAGTCCTGACCAAGTGAGCATCAACATCTGGGGATAGTTCCCCAGGTGCTTCACTTGTGACCTGACAGGTTTCTCTTGTAGCTAATCGTAGCCCTATGTGGATTCATAAAATATACCTTAACCTGTAGACATAGTTGATCAATTGTAGAGAAGGTTGCATTGGCAGAAGAACGTTTTGCAGACCAGTTGAGACATTGATGTGCAAATCAGCAGCTCGTTAGATGTTTAAAGTGTACCATCAGATAAAGCATTGCCTTAATGTCTTCATAGTTCCATAAAAGGGATTTTGGAATGTTTTATTAAGACAATTATGCTATACCTCAAAGATATGGCTCAAAAACATGCAAAATCACAAGATAAATTTTCATAAATTTACTTGCCCTCCAGATCTGTATTTTATCTACTTACCCTTTATTTAATGTTTTTATTCTTCAAATCCCAATATTAATTTAAAACACACTGAAAGTTGTCTGTTTGGCTGAAATGTTCTCCCACACCCACATTTGCATGACTTGCCCCAGACTGACGAGGGCGCGGCAGAGGACGAAGAGCCCGCCCCGAGCCAGCACTACGACCCCATAGCTGCAGCACAGGAGGGCTGGGGCGACGACGGCAGGCAGCCCGTCCGCTACGACCCCATCGCCGCCGCTCAGGAGGGCTGGGGCGACGACGGCACTGAACCAGTGCACTACAACCCAGTGGCTGCCGCTCAGGGCGACTGGGACCAGCAGGAAGAAGACTACGAGCACGAGGCCACAGAGCAGGAGGAGTGGGCCGACGAGCCTCTACCCACCACACAGGACGATGAGCCGGAGGAGCAGGAACCTCTGGAAGAATATGGGGAGGAGGCTAGCGTGGATCCTCCAGGGGCAGAGGAGGAGGCAGCTACAGCGGGTACCCCAGAACCAGAGCAGGCAGAGCTCACCGTGGAGGTGGAGGAGGGTCAGGTAACGCTTACAAACAGAGATGCATTCAGAGTAACGGTGGTGGTGGATGCATCGGCTCTGGAGGAGGACGAGGAGTGGAATAGACACATGTTAAAGTTACCTGCTGGCTGTACAACTTATATACACATACTTTTCCATCTTCAGGTGTGTGATGGAGGTACCAGTCAGAAATGATGAATAAGTGGGCAGGTTGCTAATATCCAACTGTTTTCTTTTCTTTCCTTGGTTATTACCATCTCAAGCTGTAGAACGCATGCTTACACCAAATACTGGGGGGACAGATAGTAAGCAAGGTGCTTTCAATTCATACATCCTTATAAGTTAAAACACGTCATGCAGAAGCCAAGGTAATGAAGAATATTTTAAAAGTCTATACAAAAATAATGCCCTCTCAAACATGATATGAATTGATTAAGAGAAAACGAAAACAGAACAAAAACTCTTGATTTTGTCAGTGTAGTTCTGGCTCTCACTGTCGGGAGAATAACATCCCTAACTCTTTATGGCCTACATCCTGTTTAGCAAGACTCAGAGAGATCATTCTTACTATTGATAATTTTAGCCAAGAATCTCATTGGAGTCACATCATGTAACTGTTAAAGCGCTAGGTGATTTCACGCTGCCATAGTCTATGTGCTTTTGTGTGGTGTCTCTCTGTCAGGGTGGAGTCTGTGTCCGCTCTGAGTCTGAAGTATATGTCTGAGTGTCCCTCTAACTCTGTTCCTTTGTCTGTCAGAGTGACTCTGGAGCAGCCGCCACTTCACCTGAGGCCACAGCACCAGCAGCAGCAGCAGAAGAAGAGGTGAGAGTCCGGATGGAGTTTCACTTCATTATATCTCATCAAAAGCATTTGTACAAAACATAACTCAGCCTTGAGGCATAATCTCAAACACAATCATAAAAGTTTCCGCTTTGACCTGGAATGAAGAAATACTGCTGTCCATTTCTAATCATTCATAAAAGGGGTATTTTCGCTTTCAATGTCAGTGTCAGATTTATTTGTAGTAGTAACAATTTATTTCAAACATTATGAAAAAGAAAACAAAAAACAAGATACACAAAAATAATCATGACACAAAATAAACAGAAAAGTTTGAAAAAGAGGCTGGACAAAGCAGACACTTTTTTGGCTCCAACCCTTCTCTCTCACTCACAACCCACACAATCACACGCACGCAACACAATCACACAAACACACCTGTCACGAGGTGGGAAGGAGGAGGACTCAAAATGCGAGAATGCCAAAATAAAGATTTAATAAAATAGAAGTCCAAGGTAAAAACAAAACTCAAAATCCAAAATACGGAACCAGGAGCACAAAATCAGGAACAGGACGGAACAGAAGTAGACAATACAATGGACCAGCAACAAGAGGAGAGGAGCACAGGGTAATTATAGACAGAGACACAGGTGAAACACATTAGGGCAGGGTAGACAATCAAGACAGGGGAAACAGGACGTCAAAGTCAAACTTAAAACCAAAGCACAGAGAACAGATATCAAAATAAAGCTAAAGTCCAAAATAAAATCCACACCATGACAGTACCCCCCCTCCAAGGGACAGCTCCCAGATGTCCCAAGAACAAAAGCGAGGCAGGGAGGGCGGAGGGGGTCTGGAGGACAGGCCAGGGGCAGTTCAGAGGCCAGAACATGCAGGGGCAGGAGCTGAAGCCCAGTGGTGACCTTCCACACGGAACTGGCTCACCCCGGGCGGAGACAAATGCCCGGCGGTGACGACAGACGGGAACAAAACCACCCCAGACGGAACTCATGTCTGGCGGTGGCAACAGGCGAAGGGAAGGAGAGGTCATCAAAGGGTATCAGGCGGACACAGGTGGGGAAATCCAGGCAGACGGGAACAATCATGCCAGGGCTCCACTGGGTACCTCTCTCGTGGGACAGGGGGAGGAAACGGGACCACCCCGGACGGAGATCAATGCCCGGCGGTGGTGCATGGACAAAAAACCACCCCAGACGGAATTCTTGCCTGGCGGTGGCTCGAGGTAGCAGGTAGAGGCAGGCAGTGGAGATTGCAGAGAAAAAAAAAACAAATAGACACCTGGTGGCAAACTGGGAGCAGGTGTGGGTGGAAAAAATAAAGCATTCCGCAGAGTCCGAATGTGGCTGGTCCATTCTGTCACGAGGTGGGAAGGAGGAGGACTCAAAATGCGAGAATGCCAAAATAAAGATTTAATAAAATAGAAGTCCAAGGTAAAAACAAAACTCAAAATCCAAAATACGGAACCAGGAGCACAAAATCAGGAACAGGACGGAACAGAAGTAGACAATACAATGGACCAGCAACAAGAGGAGAGGAGCACAGGGTAATTATAGACAGAGACACAGGTGAAACACATTAGGGCAGGGTAGACAATCAAGACAGGGGAAACAGGACGTCAAAGTCAAACTTAAAACCAAAGCACAGAGAACAGATATCAAAATAAAGCTAAAGTCCAAAATAAAATCCACACCATGACAGTACCCCCCCTCCAAGGGACAGCTCCCAGATGTCCCAAGAACAAAAGCGAGGCAGGGAGGGCGGAGGGGGTCTGGAGGACAGGCCAGGGGCAGTTCAGAGGCCAGAACATGCAGGGGCAGGAGCTGAAGCCCAGTGGTGACCTTCCACACGGAACTGGCTCACCCCGGGCGGAGACAAATGCCCGGCGGTGACGACAGACGGGAACAAAACCACCCCAGACGGAACTCATGTCTGGCGGTGGCAACAGGCGAAGGGAAGGAGAGGTCATCAAAGGGTATCAGGCGGACACAGGTGGGGAAATCCAGGCAGACGGGAACAATCATGCCAGGGCTCCACTGGGTACCTCTCTCGTGGGACAGGGGGAGGAAACGGGACCACCCCGGACGGAGATCAATGCCCGGCGGTGGTGCATGGACAAAAAACCACCCCAGACGGAATTCTTGCCTGGCGGTGGCTCGAGGTAGCAGGTAGAGGCAGGCAGTGGAGATTGCAGAGAAAAAAAAAACAAATAGACACCTGGTGGCAAACTGGGAGCAGGTGTGGGTGGAAAAAATAAAGCATTCCGCAGAGTCCGAATGTGGCTGGTCCATTCTGTCACGAGGTGGGAAGGAGGAGGACTCAAAATGCGAGAATGCCAAAATAAAGATTTAATAAAATAGAAGTCCAAGGTAAAAACAAAACTCAAAATCCAAAATACGGAACCAGGAGCACAAAATCAGGAACAGGACGGAACAGAAGTAGACAATACAATGGACCAGCAACAAGAGGAGAGGAGCACAGGGTAATTATAGACAGAGACACAGGTGAAACACATTAGGGCAGGGTAGACAATCAAGACAGGGGAAACAGGACGTCAAAGTCAAACTTAAAACCAAAGCACAGAGAACAGATATCAAAATAAAGCTAAAGTCCAAAATAAAATCCACACCATGACAACACCCACACAATCACACGCACGCAACACACAACACTCGACAAGACACGGGCCCAAACACTCACTGACCGCACATCTCCCTCTACTTGCTCTGTGCTGGAGTCCCCAACATACTTCAACAGTTTCACAGTTTTTAATTTAGCACTTTCCACAGTTACAGAGGACACAAGCTGCTCTAGGTTGTCAATAAATCAGTTTTGATATTTTGCATGTACATTATAAATAATGTTTGTCCCAATATTGACCCTTGTGGGTCCGTGTACTTTTGCAATACATTGTTCAATACATTTTCTATTTTTGAAGGGAAATCGAAAAAAGGTGATTTTGCATTTTCAGGCACACAGCAATATACAAAAATGATCATTTTGGGTTTTTTCATTGCTCATTAGACATATATATATTATAATAACCGGATTTGGGAACTAGAAAATTCAAAAATTAACCTTTTTTTATTATGTATCTAATACATTTGGGCGTCAATCGATTACCCGGAAGTGAAACAAGTTTGTTTACTCGCACGGGTTACCTGTGGACCCCTGATAATTTGTGATAATCACGGAGAACTTCTGAGATTTTGCAGTGCATTCACACAGGATAAGCAATATCTGTAAAATACTATTTTCACTGACATCTCACATAACGGCCGCACGTGCGCGGATCTCCTCGCTTCACACAGTCCAGAGAGTCGCGTCTGACTACGGACCACAGCAGCCATGGGTCTGATCATTTAGTGTCAGTGAACACATAACACTGTCCTCTACACTTCTCCATAGACCTCACAGAGACAGCAGCAGCCGCTGATACGCGACTCCTCTGCTTATTGTTATTGAAAGCGGCAATCACGATCATAATCACTGACATGCAGATTCTCACAGGATTAGTATCATCATAGAACATCTGTGTTTGGACAAATACAGGAGCGAATAGGGCTGAAGTCAATGGCTGAAGTAAACAAACTTGTTTCACTTGCGGGTAATCGATTGACGCCCAAATGTATTAAATACATATTAAAAAAGGTTAATTATTGCATTTTCTAGTTCCCAAATCCGGTTATTATAATATGTATCTATGTCTAACAGGAATTTACACAGTAGGCGTAAACAGCGCGTACGCGTTTACTGCGCGCTCTCTGCGCGTAACATTTTTTTGGAGTATCTACACAGGCCGTGCGCGCAGGTCCGCGGCTTCTGATGCTGTCCCTGTGTAGTCTATGGAGCAGTGTAGAGGACAGTACGGACCAGAGGACTGATGTAGAGCAACACAAATCACATGCATGTGTTTGTCCTCATGGTCTCTGTGCGCTGGTTTGGCCAGACGCGAGACTTTGTGAAAGAAAAAAAATGATGTCTAGAATCAGTGTAAAACCTGCTGCTCCTCCTGCTGATGTTTAGACACAAGTGCTGTGTGTGTGCAGATGTGATCTAGAGCCAAGGACCGCTAGAAAAATCATGTTTTACATGAGATTTCAATGGGAGACGCATTGGTGCACGCACAAAATTAGAAATCCATCCTAAATTTGAGCGCAGCTTCGCGTCATACGTCCGTCATACGTCCGTCATACGCGCGTATAACGCTAGAAGTGTAAATATCATCATAGGTTAACATGGAATAAAGTTACGCGCGTCTGCTGCGTGTATAACGCTTACGTGCTGTAACGCGTGATGTGTAAATTAGCAGTTATAAGTAATGGGAAAACCAAAATGGTCATTTTTGTATATTGCTGTGTGCCTGAAAATGCAAAATAGCCTTTTTTCAATTATCCATTTCCCTTCAAAAGTAGAAAATTTATATGTAACATTTTCCTATTTATTAATTAAAATATGATGGTTGATGGTATCAAGAGCTTTTTGCAAATCACTGAAAATTCCAAAAAAAAAATAAAAAATTGTTTTATTCCATTAGTGAAGTCAATCAGAGCAAGTGAGGTCGATCTATTTTGCCTGAACCCTATTTACTATCAGAGAGTAAATTATGCTTTTCAATGAACCACAAAGTCTCATGTCAAATTATTTTTCTATTATTTTAGAAAATTGCGGCAGTAGATAGACAGGTCTGTAATTGGTGAAATAATGTTTGTCCCCTGCTTTAAAAATTGGGACTACTTTGGCCATTTTCATTTTGAAAGGAAATTCTCCAAGTCAAAGTTCTACATTTACACAAAAAAGTATTGAAGCTGCCTACAATTGTCTTTTTGTTCCTTATCATTGTGTCAATCTTCACAAAGTACTCAGGATAGCAAGAGCTGTCGGAACCACAACCAATAATTGTCTTCAATACTTTCCATAATCCTTTGATATCAAGTTACCCTCAAAATGCTGGTTAATTTATTTTTGTATATTTGATAACATAATTCAGTCTCACTAGTTCTTAGTCTGAAAAATTCTCTAGTTAGCTTTTTTGCAAGCGTTTGAAAGCCCTTTCGTTATCCATGGGGTTTTTATGGAGTCTCTTAGTGTGCACTTTTTGATTGGACAATATTTGTCACAGAAAGTAATGAGTACATCGATAAAGGAGTTGTAAGCTGTGTCATTGTCTGAAATTGCAAAAATAGATATACATTTTTGTCTTGCCAAATATATTATTGATTGCTCTGTAATGACTTTACAATAGTTCAATGTTTGCAGGTTTGATTATTTCACAGTTTACATTGTATAACATAAAAACTGGTAGATGGTCGCTGGCATCATTTACTAGCACTCCACTGGTTATTTCTTTCTCCAATCTGTTACGGGATATATTGGTAGTTAAAGTGGCACTGGATGCTGTGATTCATGTGGGTCTTTGTATGGCACATTTACGATAACACCCGCTGCCAGGCTTTCAAGTATTGCTTCCCTGGTTCCATAGCACAGTGTCACGTTCAGTCACTTTGCTTCAGCTTGTGCCATTTCCAGCTCTCTCATGACTTCCCCCTCTCTGTTGTATTTGCATAGAAGCCCACAGCAGCAGCAGCAGCAGCAGCAGAAACGGCAGCAGAAGAAGAAGAAGCAACAGCAGTAGAAGAAGTAGAAGTACCAGCAGCAGAAGCAGCAGAAGAGCCCACAGCGGCTGCAGCAGCAGAACCAGTGGCAGAACCAGTGGCAGAGCCAGTGGCAGAACCAGTGGCAGAACCAGTGGCAGAACCAGTGGCAGAACCAGTGGCAGAACCAGCGGCAGAAACAGCGGCAGAACCAGCAGACCTGCCCCCGGGTTTCTTATTTAAGGTGAGATGCAGAAGTAAATCATACGCCAGGCTTTCACTGAAGTCTAACCAAACTGTGATGTCATAGGTGGAGGTGATGCACGACTACGCTGCTAACGACACAGACGAGCTGGACATGAAGGCTGGAGACGTGGTGCTCGTCGTTCCTTTTGATAATCCGGACGAGCAGGTCAGGGCTAAAGGGCAATCAAGTGTACGGGACAGAAATAGTTTATGTAATGGAACATAATTATTACCTTATGTCAAGGATGTCCAAACCTTATAGTCAGAGGGCCACTTTAGTTAACCAGGCTTGACCAGGGGCAAAAAAATAAATAAAAAAACAGTACATGCAGTTGACAGCTGAATTCCAGAGGTTCTGAGTTTTACTGCAAGGTATTGGTTGGATGACATTGCGAACTTGTGTTTATGGTTTAACAAGGCTTTTGCCTTTATATATGACACTGATGGCCGCAATTTGCCTTAGTTTGAACTTTTAAGTTTGAGTTTGTCAGTCTTATACTGTAAGAGCCCCAACAAAACCAACAAATTCAAGAAGAGATAAAACAGGAAACCATTTTGTCCGTGGGCCTTGTCTCACTGGCCCCTTTGACGCTTGTAGGATTGTTTCTACTGACTGTATAACTGTATATATTGACTGTATAATAATAATCAATGATTTATTTGACACTCAAAGATGCTCCATACACTGTGTTGATAAACTACTACTAAAGCCACAGCTGCCCTGGGGCACACTGACCGAAGCGAGGCAACCAGTATGTTCCATCAGCTCCTCAGACCACCACCAGTCATTCACACACACTCACACACACACACACACACACACACACACACACACACACACACACACACACACACACACACACACACACACACACATACACACACATTCTAGGCAATGTGGTTGTAGTGTCTTGGGGACAGGACCTGGCTTTCACATGCAGGTATCACCCATCACTAACTCTCCCTCTCTCCTTGCACAGGATGACGGCTGGCTCATGGGCATGAAGCAGCACGAATGGAAGCAAGTCAGAGAGGCGGCGGCCAAGGGCGTGTTTCCAGAGAACTTTACCCAGCGCCTGTGAGCCCGAGCGGGGGAGCGAGAAGTGACCCTTCCTCCGCCGCTCCACCTCTCAACACTCTTAACTCTACCAGGACTTTGGCCATAGACGCCGAGCAGCCCCCCCGGCCCCGGCTCCAGCCACAACATCTGGAAGGTCTGCTACACTGTGTACACTGTGGACCTGCTGGGCATCGTGTAGGCTCTCACGGAGGGAACGCTTAGGCTGTGTTCATCCTGACAAGTCCAAAAAAGTGTGGAATTCAGTTTTAGAGGGGACATTTCCATGCTCACATCCATATGTTTGTGTACAGTCCAAAATCAGACCAACAGTTGTCTCGGAGGACTTCATAAAAATGTTGATTTACCAATGGCAAATTAGGAAATCAAGCAGTTGTTGCTGAATGAAGACGACAGAGTGACCAATGTTCACAGTATAATTGATGTGCTAGTATTATTTCCTTTTACAAACTCGGTATTCAAGGGTTAGCCAGCAATTATTAAAGGGCACATCTTGTATTATCCAAAACTGACTTTCTGAGAGTGTTTTGTGAAGGCCTGGGTAAATTAATTTGTTCTGAAAGTTTCTAAAAATTAACCTGGACGAAGCCCAATCCAAGAAAATGAACACAGCCTAATTGTGGTTAAAACCTCTGCAGTGCTACACGTATGAAGACGTGAATGACACTTTCAGACTCACAAATATAGCCATTGCATCGTTGCCACTTTAACGGAAGAAACAGGCGAGTTTCAGCTTTAGTCTCATAAAACTATACTATATTCCACCTCCTTCTAAACTCACACTCATACAGCAATCCAGAGATATATTCACTAAAGAAGGTGCTATTCCAAAATCAATCTATTGTGTAGCAGTGTGTCCGCGCTCAGGTGGGTACGTTGTTTTGGGTGTTCAGTGAAGGATGTACGTGAGTGCGAGCGACTGTTCAAGAAGTGCAAGAGAAGTAGAACAAGCGGAGTCGTCGGTCCACAGTTAAAGGGCTTGTCCGCCTTAAATCGGGTTCTGTACACACACGGACAGTAGAGTAGAGTAGTGTCAACTGGGTATGTGTTCTCCCGCTGTAGATCAAATAGCGCGGCTAAGAAAGTAAGTTTGTGCCAATATTAAAGGAGAAGTATATCCTTCCTCTTCCAAAATATCAGTTGAATTGTTTTATCTTCATGTCCAATTTGTATAACTGTACAATATCAGCAGGTGTTAATCTAAAAGGGCCCCAATCAATGCTCATGGATCCACTAATAAAACTAGCTTTAGCTATTTCAAGACAAATTGCTCGTGCTCAACTAACCCTAACCCAGGGCGAATATTGAAGCCATTTAAATCCTTTTAGTGATCATTAACATTTTTCAGTTTTAAATCCATTGGTCGTCTAAAAAAAGCAAGAAACCAGAGGAGCTTGAGTTACGTTTAGTGTTTGAGACAAGGCCTTTATAATAGGGCTGGGCAATATGGCTGAAAACAATATCACAATATAAGTCATTCATATCGGTCGATAACGATTAATATCGATTGTTTTTTTTTAAAACCTAAATAAATACATTTGCTGTGTGGGCTAACACATGTTAGCAGCCTTGTTTACAGTCACGGGGATTGAGGCTGGAGAAATATGTTCACGCTGCGTCCCCCATTGTTAGTCATGGTTTAGTCCTGGTTTAGTCCTGGTTTAGTCCTGGTTTTGCTCCTGTTTTAGCGGCTGTTTTCGAGTGTCTTGTGTCCCCGTGCCGGCTCTGTGCGGCGCTCTCTGATAGCCGCTCGTGCTTCCTGAGGAAAAAGTTAATCTCTTGCTTTTGCTGAATGCATCGGGTCTCTGTGTACACTGCCTCTACCGTGCTGCACATGCTATTCCACGCACGGACGTGTATAACCATTGACACGGCATTGAAAAACCCCAGAATGCCGCGTGCTTCCGGCTCGGCTTTACTTCCTGTGTTTTCTTCCTGTTTTTTCTAACGGAGGGAAGTTAAACTATCGAACATTCTATTGACCCTGTTTTCTATAGATATCGAACACGTGTCTAACGCAATATATATCGTTTTATCGCCCAGCCCTACTTTATAACGCCAAGTCTCTCCCCCGCTCTGTCAGTGACTGGTTTCTCAACAAATTAAATATCTCAAGATCACACGGGAAGGACAGCATTTCCCCTCTGGTCACACACCTAAAGGGTGCTTGTACCTTTTACAATTAGGCAAATATTTCCCCAAAAGTGTATCCTGTGTTTTAGTTTTGTCCAAATGTTATCGGCTATAAGCTAGCAGATGCGTCCTCAAATGTGCATTTATTTAAAATAGGCCGTAATTATACATAATCTGCATTTAACAATATCCGGCAGAAATGTTTTGTTCTATGTGTCTCCAGAAGTAGTTTTAAGCGCATTGTTTAAAAGATTTCGGTTCTGTTATTCTATATCGCCCTCCAGTGCAAGTGATGTGCATCGTGACGTCACAAGCAAGGGGGCTTAGTGTAAAAAAGGCCAAAATCAACAACAGTTTTGTAGCCAAAGTTTTTGTCCATGTTTTTGAAGGGTAATATTATACGCCATATTATGAGGCCTTTTTATGCTCTCATTATTTGACTTCTCTGCCACTCACTGTTTCAGATATGAATATATTCGAATTATCTTAAATTTCAAGTCTCCATTTTCACTCATATTGTGTATACTTCTCCTTTAAGGGGTCACTCAGTCATTTACATAAGCAGAACGGGCACAAACTTGCTTCCTTACGCTGACATACAGTAGAAATCCCGTCCAGTACAATAGTTTTCCCCTTATAACAAGTTTATATCCCGCGTCAATCTACTCCAAGTCTCATGGGGTTTTGTCCCTGTACTAGCCCTGGAGTTATAACCCAGTAGGACATTTTATACGTGTCTGTGATGGAATCTGATTTTGAGTTTGTTTTTTTTTATCTAAATGAACAGATTCTGAATATGCATAAGCCAGGCTCACTTTTGAAGCCAGCCAATCCTTACACGGAGCTGCTGCTGCGGTAGAAATCCTTAGGTAGTCCGTTTTAAAAAAAATAGGATTTGGAGGTAAAGCGGTAAACCCCAGTAACTTTTCCTTCCATTTGCATCACGACAGAATGCAGATGAGTCAAAAATATGCACCAGAGCAACTCCTTTTATTTTTGTATGCTGCCAATCAATGATTACATATGAGTACATAGAACATATAGCCTCCAGATATGTCCATGTTATTGCCAATAGGGTGTTTAGGAGTGGTCTGCCTCTGCTAGCTTCACTGGTCTATGGCTGCGTCCACATTAGCACATTTATCTGGCGGGAAAATGGCAATGGCCAGCCTTGTTTCAGATCGAAATGTGTTTCTGCAATAATCTTAAGTAACTCGATATTTGTACGCAGAATGGTTGGCACATGATTCAGCAAGCGATGCATTCATGACAGCGAGAATGACAGGAGCTTCACCAAATTAATTCAATTAAAAACAGATCAGAGAGTAGTAGCAGTAATTTTTATTTATATACCGCCTTTTCACTGCAGATCTGAGTCTCAAAGCGGTTTACAATTGTTAATTTTGGGCAATTGTCTCTCACGCCACACAGAGATGGGAGTGAGGTCGCCAGTACAGGAGGCACATGCCAGATCTATTGGACATATTTTTAGTGGTAGGGGAAACCGGAGTACCCAGAGGAAACCTACGCAGACACGGGGAGAACATGCAAACTCCACTCAGAAAGACCCTGGTCCGACCGGGATTCGAACCCAGGACCTTCTTGCTGAGAGGCGAGAGTGCTATCCACTCAGCCACCGTGTCAAACCGTTCAAACACAGAAACATAAAACACATCAGTAATGGCCCTCAGCTGAGAAAATCAACTTCAAGGGTGAGTTTGCGCAGGGCTGGACGATCGGTTTGATGACTAAAATTGGGACGTGGCAAATACCTCCTTTTTCTCCATAGAATTTCATGTTAGCAGTTTTGAAAAATAGTCAACTCTTAAACCAAGGACCAATAAAATCATTGAAAACAGACCGTATCTGCCCGTATACGTGGACACAGACAGATTCCAGTCGCCTCAGCAGCCGCGCCTCTCCTCCGTCACCCTCCCATCGCTTCCGTTTTATGTAATACTCTATTGTGAATCGTGCGAGTGTGTAAACGTGTGTGCGTTTGAGGAAATGACTTTGGGCTTGTTTCCGTTCCGGGTATTATTGTGCAAAATCTTTTATGTAAAAAAAAAAAAAAAACAAAAACCAGATTAATTAAAATGTACGTTTTTGACAAGTTGTGAAGGGGAAGAAAACATTCATATCCGTGTGAGTTTTGTGAGCATGCTGACCCCTCCCACTCCACGTGTATTTGTGCAAATAAAAAACCTCTCCCCTTTTGGATGTACAAATGCTAATGATGCTACAGTGACTTTTCGGGCCATTGTAACACCTTTTTTATATTTTTATTTAATTTAATTTATTGATCCGGAGAAAGAGGTGGTTCCGCTGTGTTTTATGTTCGGCCCCGCCACAAAATGTTACTCTACACTGTCAAAATAAATGTCTACGCAAGTTGAAATGATTTGAATTGATCTTTATTTAGATATGAGAAAAGGGCATGTCTAAAAGTAGTTGAAAGTTGCGAGAGGTATGTTTATCGCAAAATTACTTGCGAATAGTTTATTATAACAATGAAATGAAACAGATTTTATTGCCTTGTGAAAAGATTAAATATATATGTATATGGCCATGTCCTAAAATAATAATATATACACAATTCAAATCTATATTGAACAATTTTAGATGTTGATTTTTGCAGTGTACAAACAGGAGACACACAGACACCAAACCCGTGTAGAGGATTTCTGAAGTGAACATGTGGATGCATCATTAAGTATATTATTTATTTGGAGCTCTCTACGTAGACCTGTGTCGTCTCCTATGGCAACGAAAGGATTGGAGGATTTTCCTGTACCTACCTGACCAATAACAATAAAAACTGAAATCTGCAATACACCTTTGGTCGTGTGTTTTTAAACAATAAGCTGAGTTATAGTTTGATTTAAGATTTATTTGGCCATATTATTTTGGAGATTTTTCATGACGAAAGTTATTGTGTGAAGCCATATATTTTAAATCGATGATTGTTTTATATGCAAGTAAAAAATGTCTTGTGTTAGTAGATTGATAAACTTTTTTTTTACTGGAAAAAAATACGTAATTTGTCTTCATGAACTTGAAATTGGAAAGTTTGAACACATAAAAGTATTCTTAAGATATTCAATAATTCATTGTCTGTGGTATTCAGCAGAGGTCAGAATTGGATCTCTCTGACAGTACGGTCCGTGTACTTTTGCGTTCAATGCATTTTCTATTTTTGAAGGGAAATGGAAAATAATCGATTGACGCCGAAATGTATTAAATAATAATAATGTTAATTATTGCATTTTCTAGTCCCAAATCCGGTTATTATAATATATATATATATATATATATATATATTATATATATATATATATATATATATATATATATATATATATATATATATATATATATATATATATATATATATATATATATATATATATATATATATATATATATATATATATATATATATATATATATATATATATATCTTATATATATATATATTATATATATATCTTATAAGCAATACAAAAACCCAAAAATTGTAATTTTTGTATATTGCTGTGTGCCTGAAAATGCAAAATAGCCTTTTTTCGATTTTCCATTTCCCTTCAAAAATAGAAAATGTATTGAACGCAAAAGTACACGGACCCAGTACATAGGATATTACATAGTTGCGATCATGGAAAGATTTGAATAAAATTAATGAAACAATAGAAAAATGGTAACAATTTAAACACGTACAAATGTATTGAACAGAACCACCAAATAAAGTCTGATATAAGTTGTATTTGTATAATAACCATTGATAAACATAGATTGGAAAAATCTAATTCTCCAGCGACTCTTTTAAGTATGAGTCCACGTGTGAGGGCTGTCTTAGACCAGAAGAGGGCGACATTTACACATCCTCCACGCATAAGGCTCGTATCTGCTCCATCGTGAGGATTTGGGCTCGTTCAAAGACAAGAGGAGCAGAGGAGTGGGAGGGGAGGGGAGGGGAGCTGTCCGAGGTGCTGAAGCCACAAGCCCATGGGCCCCTTCACCCCTCTCCCGTGCGACCCAAATACTTAGGAAAATTTAAGCTTCTTTCTTATTATCGGTGTTCTCCTGTAATGATGTCCCACCAGTGTTCATTTCTATTGATTCTGTTTGAGGCATTGCATGTATTGTCCTTCACTGGTCAGACGTGGCCATTCCTGCTCTGGGCTGGAAGACCTATAGAGATAATCTATCATAATTTGTTTTCCTCATATGGAACAATCTAGTTTTCTTTACTCTTGTTGAAATATCATACCTGTACATAAGCAATTGTGCATGAATAGGATAAGATCGTGACAGGTGAATGGAGAGCCCTTCTACTGGTTCTGGGATAATTTTATCCAAAATAGAAGAGGAGAATGTCGATGTTTCAATCTTTCCATTTCTGGCACAGGCTAAACCTGCTCGTCCTGCTTGTCAGATCTAAGTAATATATTAATAATAATAATTCAGTGGTTTGATCCTGTTTAGTGATTTTTTTGGACACACAAATACGTTTGACATGTCATTATTCGTTCACTCCAAACATAGTGTTGGAGACTGACAGAAGCGAGGTAACCAGTATGTTCCATTGGCCCCTCCCACCACCCCCAATTATTCACACACACACACACACACCGACTTCTTTCTTGGCAGTGCTTACCAGGCTCTGTTTAGTTTCAGAGGTCTGATGGGATCAGGCTTTCAGCAGCAGGAGGGGCCACATATGGGACCCAGTTGATAGTTGATACTGTGATGGGAGACCACTGTAATACCAGGGGAGGTTGCTTCTGTTGAAGGCGTAGATCGCAGGCTTGCTAACGATGCTCTACCCCAGGGCAGAGCATTGTTAGCAAAACACACACACACAGGTCCAGGACGATCAAGAACTCAAAACTAAAAAAAAAAAAAATATCGGTACAAATCAAAATGTAACTCAAAGAGACATTGTTTCAGTTCAGTCCGCTCTCTGTTGTGTCGTGTGTTTGTGCAGTGGAGAGCTCTGAATGATGTCAACAAAATAAATAAATATGATAACAGCAGAATTAATTACACTAATTAAGCATTAGTGTAAATAAAGTTAGGCGAATTGTTTATGCTATAAAGAGAAAAAACAGATACCAGTTACACGTATCAAATGAAATAATAAATCATAGAAATATGAGTCATAAGTAAGATTAGAAGCGTGGCTAACAACACAACACAAGGCATCATTTCTGTCATTGCCTCTCACTGTGTGAAGGAACAACACACAGGGAACAAAATATATAATAACTTTATTTAACAAAACATTTCAAACACATGATTACACATTAAAATAACACGTTTCTTACAAATGATCAAATAATATCCCAAATAATAACAATAACAAGACATTTACAATATCTTCTACAAATAATCTTTAAATATTTTCTCGAAGAATAGCTTAATATACATACACACCACCTGAATCAGCACGTTTTGAACCGCCTTAGATTTTATTAAATACAAGATAACTATGTTTATTTTTAATTATAAATGTAAATGAGCAAAATGAGTGAAAAGAGTTCTTTGATATGTGTTTTATTTTTGCACAGTAGTTCCAAAGCCTGAGATGAAAATAATCTTATAAATGTATAAATATTACACTATATTTCATGCCTGGTTAAAGCTGGGGTACGTAACTTTCAAGCCACAAGAAATGAAACTGTCTATCTAACAAGTTTCTCGCTCTCAATAGAAAAGTGGAAACGAGTGGACCGCGGTCTCTCAGCCAGTTCTTAACCCAAAGTGTCAACTAGTGACTCCCTGGGCTCTTTCTTGAAAGTTGTTTTGTGAAAAGATCTCATTTGTCACAACATTTTACAAGACTCTTTCTGTTTTGACAGCTTTAAGACTCGTGTGATAACTACAAACCCGCATGGTTGCTTCCATGTACACAATGTGTTTTCTGGTGACGAGGGGCTAGTCCACAGCTTTCTACCTATATATTACATGGATTCGGTGGAAAAAAATGCATTATAAAGTACTGTGCTTTTGAGTCCCCGCTCCAGCTAATTGTAAACAAAAGGACAGTCCGTCAAGCGTACTCATTCTTTTCAAATGTACCAAGTTTGGCTTCTGACTTTCCTTTATTATTGACATGTTGTGAATAATCTCTGGGTTTATCAATTCTGCTTGTTTTTTGAAAGCTTGATTATACAAATGGCACTAATAAGGATGTGTCAATTTAAATGAGCTTGAATTTTGTCATTGATATTTAAATATTGAATATTTTTGTCACTGAAAAATCTGTTTCAAATTTGCCTTTTAAATATTCAATATGTTTCCAGCCCTAAAACTCAATGCACTCTGAAGTTTCATGAAACTTTAGACTCTTGGTCATAGACACAGTTATTTTAGATTTGGTACTTTTTCCGGTTTGCAATCAGCCCGATGTGGACCCAGATAAATATCCGCTAACCGCCACTGGCTCCATTTTGTTAGCGCTTCCAGCTTTGAGTGATGTGACACTGCATTGGTCCACTTATAGGTACAGTCTTTGGAATATAATCCTCTGATGACCAGATCAACTGACAAAAACTGTGACAAAACACAAAACACGTTGGCTTCAAATACAAAAATAACTTACATTTACACCTTTGTACAAGAAGAAAAACTTTTGTGAGAATTACATTGGTCTGTTAAAATGTGCAAATGTGTGGCTCACAGTGTTAGCGGAATGTCCCTTTTTATTTAGCAAAGAATACTAGCAAAGAAGATCCTTCGTAGAGGAGTAGTGGCAGACAATAATGGGTTAATAATTGGTTTGGTTAAAACTATAGCATGCATTATTACTTTTATTATTGGCCAGACATGCTCAAAACTCACTCTATTTGAAATCACACTGTTTAGAAGTTTCCAAAGCAGCTTGTTGCCTGCTACCAGAGCAGTAGAGATGTGTTGTTGGTTTTATCTATAAACTACACCCAGAGACTTTACATACAGTAAATATACAGCAACATTTATGTCCATTTCTAAGTGCTCATGAAAGGCAAGCTTGTGCACAGGATTACTAAACCTCTAGTGACTAAAGTAACAAACGATTACAGGTATGTTTTAGCGTTCCATCATCTAAAAGTCTCCAGTCTAACAGATCTATGTATATCATATGAGCCACATATGACAGGTTCAACAATAATCAAGTGCATTTATACCAGTTTTTTGTCTCACAATGCTCTCTTTTGATTTAAACTGCAATAAAAACGGAACCTAATCTTGCATCTTTTCTGTAAGATTGTAAAGTTACGACTATAAGCAAAACTCAGGTTAGATTGGCTTTTATGAAAAGCACTGGCAGTGAAAGAGACAAAGAAACCATGTGTACGTCTCAATTGGTAATGACCATTCATCTTTCCTGTTACATATTCTACATATGCAATGATACTGGGACGGGTTCATGATGTGAAGGTGGGACCCAAGTGAACCAGTCAGAGAAGTCCAGGTCCATATCCTCTGTGTATCTCATATTAAATAATGTCTGTCAGGAATGTAAGAGTGTCCCATGATCACCGATCAAAGACAGCTTTAGGCTAAGTTTCCATTCATTCAAAGTCTCCAACAGTCTACGCCTCTATCCCCAGTGGGTGGAAGAGTCTGTCTGGCAGCAAGCTCCTCCCCAGCCACTGCAGCAGCCGAGCGTACCAGTGAACCCCCACCCCCGGCTCCCCTGACCCAAGGGGCAGTAGTCCATGGAGCAGTCTGAGTGGAGCTAGAGCCCGGTGAGCGAGCTGCGGCCTGTTGAGCGCCGCGTAGCAGGAGGCCAGCACATGGTCCACCACTATAGCCCCGTGCTCGGTCAGAGGAGCGTACAGGCCACTGCTCCTCCTCTGGGTCACTGAGGACACCACGGCGGACATGTTTGCCCCGCGGCTGCCCTGTGCCGTGACCACGCACTGTCCCGCTCTGACGTCACTGGCAAACGCCGTCCTTAGAGTGTGCTTTGTGCAGTCCGACACAAAGATGAGGTGAGCTGCGGTGAGCGAGATGCTGGCTCCGTCACTCGTGTTGATGACGTAGAAAGTCTTGTTGGTGTGAGGCTGGCGGTCCATGAAGGACAGCACAGGACTGTAGGTCAGGGGTCCCAGGCCGTCTGCGCTGGACGACAGAACCATGTCTCCAGGGACAATGTCACTCATTCTCTTTGTCCCACCGTCTGCCAGAGACACTAAGGCGTCGCCCGGGAAACAACCGCCTGTCTTAGCAGCGACCGAGTGCTCTGCGGACACATGGAGAAACACAAGATTTAAAAACTATTCATTTAGCTCCTGGTCAGGTTCTTCCATCTTTAGGTTTTAGAACTGAAATAATGTAGAGAAGATATAGGCAAGGAATGTTTTTTGTATAGCACAATTCATACACTGAATAAGATAGCATTTAAATAATAAATTATCACTGTACAAGATAAAATCCCTCAGTTGTCTGCACAGCTAAACAGATCTCTTTTTAACTTGGATTTGAATATTGTCAGAGAAGAAGCCTGTTTCACAAATTCAGGAAGACTGAATCTGAAATGCTGCCTCTCCATGTTTAGTTCTGAGTCTGGGCACCAGCAGGAGTCCAGTCCCTGTGTACCTCAGAGTCCAAGTTGATTCATATGGGACTATCGGGGATCAGAAGCACCTGGGAGCTATCTTTGTTCTCAGCTGTTGGAGGTGGGAAATTCAACTCTCAAATCCAACCCTAACCCTCTAATCTAAGATATTATAAAACATGTTTGATCATGTTAATGTAATCATGTTTTATTATTTGGACTGTATACATATAATAATTACAGATCATGCTTAGGCGTTTAAGTACTTTTGATCATATTTTAGGTTCAAAAGCCTGAATACCTCCAAATGAATCATAGAAAAGCTGAGAACACAGTGATCTCAGCAGTGCACTTGAACCTGCCGCTGACAGTGGAATTGCAGTAGGTCAATGCCACCAGGTCTGTAAAAGTTAGACTTTGACTTAGACGCAAGGACAAGCTTATCTGCGTGATCCAGGGCTCGGACAACACCCGCACTTCCTTATTACCACAAGGAAATACAAAACTAACTTTTTTTGTTGCTTTACCAGGAATGTGCCATTAAAACGATTATCTTACATTCATCTAACACTCTTAATATTGCTAAAATCACACAGACGCTCTCTCACAGATCAGTACTGTCTGTCACTCAAATGTAAGTGGTCCATATTTTAGCTGTTTTATTGTGGTTCTAGCACCCATGTCATGTATTCAAATGCTTCAATAACAAATAGTCTAACGTGTTATTTTGGGACATGAAACAAGATTGTCGAAAGTTGTAAGTGAGTATAAAGATAAGGGTATCACCGGACCCTCAATGAAAGCCATTCAAAAGGAGATCGGTCAGTTGTAAGAAACAAAACGCGTCTAAATAATTCACAGAACACATATCAGGCGACTTTGACCCTCTCTCTGACCCCATTAGCCTTAAATCAGTGCACCGTGTGACCTGGCTCATGCGGCTCACACACTGCACCCGCTGCACCCAGCTCCATAAGGATTTAACTGCACTCTGTCTGAAAGCCCCATAACACACCTATTTTTTATACATCACAACTGCACCATCACACAGACACACTAACAAAAAAAAAAACACTGTCCTCATACAACTGTTACAAACAACAATAACTCAATTTCCTAACACTGTTGTGATAATATCTATCAATAGCAGTGACACACACACACACACACACACACACACACACACACACATATACACATACATATACACATACACACACACCCAAAATACATTAAATCCGATTAGAGATCCCCCACATCCTTACTTTCTTTTATTCTTAATCTGTATGAATCTCATGTAAATATTAATTTGCATTATTTCTGTATAATGCAGTTTTTCACTTTCGTTTTTGATGCTTCCAATAAAGATTATGAAAAAAAAGAATTTCACCACACTGCAAAATTCTGGCTCAAGCAAAAGGTTTGACCCCATACACAACCATAGAGCAGCTTTTAGAGGCAAAAACAGAATATGCCAAACCATACTGAAACGTGAAAGATGTCTTTGTATTCATTCAACACATTTATCAAAATATTGGAATTCTGACGGAGAAATACTCTATAACATAGCATCCATGTTAAAACACTATATTGAAAATGAAAAACAATTATTACAATCAAAACAGATGTATGCATTTAAGACGCACATTTAAGTCACACCAATAAAGATAATATTTTTACAGTGTGTTCATATAAAAAATCCTGCCATTGAACTTTGTCCCATTTCTCACACCCTCTTCCAACGACGACAGAACACGAGGAGTTCAACAGTTGATATTTGACCAGAATAACGTCTGCTCCCGGGAAGAGGGAAAAGGAAGATGCAAAATTCCATTTGGGTGAATTTAGGCGCACCGAGAAGTAGTCCCTTTAAGACTCCGTGGCAGAAGCTAATGTGTAACTAGCTGATCGTATCACAGCACGCAGACCAATGCTGAATACTACCACAGATACTCGCTGTGATACTCTGTGGAGGGTGAAGTACTGCATCACGAGTGTTCTGCCCTAAACTTAACGACTCACTGTGATGAATTTATAACAGCCATGTGCATGTATTTATATATATATTTATACATATCTGGGTTGCAAATCTTATCCTTGTCATGAAGTGAAGTGAAGGAGGATACAAAAAGCCGGAATGAAAAAATAATGATTTAAAGTAGCAATATGAAAGATGATCATGTCAAGTCATCATTAAATGGCCCTAATCTGTCAAAAGGCATTCATAAACCATGCTCTTTTCCAATACTTCTTTAACTGATAACTGATTATTTAGAAATTAGTTTTACAGCCCCTAAACCTTGTTTTTGTTTTCATTTCGATGTCCCGCCCTCCACCGTTTTACCAATCAGAAAGTCTGTGATCCGGGCGCCAGAACTCACCGCGTTGAGCTAATCTCACTGGTAAAGAAACATGTGGTCGCAGAACTAAAAAAGGTCTTGTTATTATTCTCAAATCATTAGTGACAAAACAAGGAACAAAGGAAAAGGATTTCTCAGAATCAGAATCATTTTATTGCCATGTAAGTAAAAGGAAGTCACAAACTAGGAAATTGCTTTGGCTCTCGGTGAAAACAATAAAAGCAAGAAGGCATGCATACACATTCTTTTTTTCTATTGGGTGTTGGTATAGATTTGTTGTTGACAAAACTCTTTTATATTCACATTTTATGATCTCAGCTGGATTCGTCTGAATATCTGGCAACCTGAGTCAAGGAGAGTGGGAGAGGTTGCAGTACCACTTGGGGCCAGTTTACATACTGAGTCAAGGATAAATACGAATCAAAAATCCAAATGAAACTCAGAAACCTAGACAAAGACAAGCAAAGACAATGGACCGAGCAGCAACAAGGGGAGAGGAGCACAGGTACATACAGCCACAGGTACATACAGACACAGGTACATACAGACACAGGTACATACAGACACAGGTACATACAGACACAGGTACATACAGCCACAGGTACATACAGCCACAGGTACATACAGACACAGGTACATACAGACACAGGTACATACAGACACAGGTACATACAGACACAGGTACATACAGCCACAGGTACATACAGACACAGGTACATACAGCCACAGGTACATACAGACACAGGTACATACAGCCACAGGTACATACAGACACAGGTACATACAGCCACAGGTACATACAGACACAGGTACATACAGACACAGGTACATACAGACACAGGTACATACAGCCACAGGTACATACAGCCACAGGTACATACAGACACAGGTACATACAGCCACAGGTACATACAGACACAGGTACATACAGACACAGGGAGACACAGGTGAAACACATGAGGGTAGGACTGACAATCCAGACAGGGGAAGAGGAGAGGAAGCCAAAATAAAACCAAAGTAAAAAATCCACATATGACGTTCTTATACCTGCGCTAGTGCACTAATGAAGCCGCCTATTCAGTGGATAATCATGTGAATCGTGAAAAAGAGAGGACCACCCTCACTCAGCAAATCAGCTCTCTGTCAAGCGTGTCTTCCATATAAGTATCCAAAAGGTAAAATATTGTGTTTTTAAAAACACACCCCAACAGAAAGAGTGAACAAATAACACTGCTAAAAAGTGTGATTAACCTTTTAGAAAAAAATTACATTTTTTGCCAGCTGACAGGTCAAAAATACATTGATAAATGTTTTGAGAGCGAGGAACCTGGCAGATGGATCTTTATTACATCAACTATTTCCTGGTGGTTTTGAAGTTATGAACTCCAACGTTAAACAAAGAACAAAAAGGAGACCGGTCTGAAAACCCAATAAGGCGTTAGCATGCTACTTGTTCGATAGATTGTCATGCATGGTTCATATTTGTTTGTGGTTTTAAAGTTAGTTACCCAGTTTACACAGCCTGGATTATAGATCACTTCCTATTCTGACTGTGACGTAAAAAGCTGTTTTTGTTTTTTTCCCACATATTTTTGTCTTTTGAAAAATTAATTGTATTTGACATGAGTTTGGATATTTTCTAGTAGTCTTGGATTCAACTACAACTGGGCCAAAAATCAAGAATGAGATAGTTAAACAAATATACAATTGAGTAACTATAACTTCTAACGACATTTGTATTTACATTTTAGAACATATTCACTTATATGGTTGTTTCCCTTAGAAAATAGGATTCAAAATGATTTTTAACATGCCACAGTATCCTTTTAGCATCAATGCTGCAAGTTGCTGTGATAATGATAATTGAAAATCTTTTCAGGGGCCACTAAACATGATATTGCAGGCCGGATTTGTCCCCAGGCCTGAGTTTGACATTGAGAATTGAGTTTTGAGTGAGAGGGTCTAATAACTGCTATTATATGAGACTTAGAAATGACAAACAACTTGGCAATCTCCAAGGAAAAAGCATGAAACGACCCAAAAATAGTTATTATTATTAGTCCTGACCTCAAAGCGTGAGAGTTTGCGCAGTATTCTTGAGCGCTACGTGGATAAGAGAAGTCTGAAGGAGTCTGGAGTGCAAATATTTGTGCGAGGTGTGTGCGCAGAAGGAGGGCGAGCCAGGTGATAAGATGGCGATAAGGTGCGGCAGAGACAAAGCCAGGGTTAATGATCGCTGGTACCAGACAGCAGCACGAGTGGAATGTGCACGGCTATTGTTTATGCGGGGCTACCATGGCGACCGCAGGGCAACCATTATTGAACCAGTGTTATGGTCAGACATTGCAGGTGAATAGGTGAAAATGTTAAAGCTCGGGTGTGTAACTTTCACATCGTAATATTCATGTCACTACATTTTCCCCTAGTTTTCATATATTTTGGGCATCAGCTTTTTCAGACAGAGAAGTGACAGGGAGAGGACCACGCTTCAATCGAGCCAATCAACTCTCAGCCAAAAGTGTCAAATAAGGACTAACGAGGTTCTTTCGAGTTTATGTAAAAAATAAGATGGTTTATAATCTGTTGTGGTTTGTTCAGATTTTACCAGACTCTCTCTGCATGTGTTATTTATGAAAAGTAGGTATGTACCAAATCTAGGATTCGGTTTCGGATTCGGCCAAATATTGTCTTTTTTGACGGGGTTTGGGTTCTGGCCGAACCTTAGAATTTTTCCCCACCGAACCGAACCCTGCGCTTACACTATGCGCGCTGTGGCTGCTAATAGATCCATGTGTGGCTGCTGCATTCGTCCCGGAAACCAGATTCGTCCGGAAGTTCAGTTTGCGGATGTCAAAAAGTGTGAATAAACATGTAAACAGTTTATCTTGTTATATACAGATTATATTATAGATTTTTGCTCATATTTATCAAGGTTTATTACGAGAAATGGCAGGAAAAAATCTCAGAAAATAAATAAATCTAGTAGCTGGCAGCTAGCGCCCAGATGCGTTCAAAGGCACATGGAAATGTAGGAAACACATTGACAGTTAACCCTTTTATTCCGAATAATTATTTCAGAAATACACAAAAGTGGGTAATGTTTATTTATACACCGCCTTTCACAGACCAGAGTCACGAAGCGGTTTACAATTGTTATTTTTGGGCATTTGTCTCTCACTCCACACAGAGATGGGAGTGGGGTCGCCAGTACAGGAGGCACATGCCAGAACTATTGTACATGTTTTTAGTGGTAGGGGAAACCAGAGTACCCGGAGGAAACCTACGCAGACACGGGTAGGACATGCAAACTCCATTCAGAAAGGCCCTGGTCCTACCGGGATTCGAACCCAGGACCTTCTTGCTGTATGATGATTAAACAAGTAAAGGACAGTGAATCTAATCAAGAATTAAACTGTAAGTGTTAGCCTCATTTCCGTGTGCCTTTGAACGCATCTGGGCGCTAGCGTTGCGGCTACTAAAAGTATTTTCTCTTGAATACAGTAGCTTAGGCTGTGTGAGTGAGAAAGTGAAGATGTGTTGTTTGGCAGTACTTTCAGTACAAAGAAGGTGATTCTAGTCGAGCTACAACGCCGATTTGTCACGTGGTGGTAAGGACCCTAAACAGTACACAACATCGCCGCTGTTAAAACATTTGCGTATGAAACATTAATGGACTGAGTATGGAGTAGGATTCGGTATTCGGTTTCGGATTCGGCCAAATCTTAACCAGTGGATTCGGTATTCGGCCGAACCCCAAAAATCTGGATTCGGTACATTCATTCAGTTTTTGTATGCTGAAATTATTATTATTTATTAGTTCATCAATGCATCTTTAATACAAGATTTGGCTTCTCTTGGTCTGTAAAATGTGCTATATAAATAAAGATTACTTATTTACTTACTAAGATAATGCACTGGTATGGCAATATCAAAAAATTATGAACTACTCCTATTTTCAATGCATTATTTTTGAGGTTGATTGGTCAGGCTTGTTTTATTCCCACACTGGGGACATTTGCAAATCTATTCCAATGTGGTTTTACTGCAAATGGCAAATAAAATTAATCTGAATCTATCTGATGACAGAGCACCTGACGCACACCTGACACACACACACACACACACGCACACACACACGCACACACACACGCACACACACACACACACACACACATACACACCACAGCGCTCTCACCTGACTTGACGCTGCAGTGGATGTGGGCCTTGGACTCGTAGTAGACCCAGTCGAAGCCCGCCTCCACGGCCAGTCGGGCCAACATGGCATACTTATTTTTGTCCCTGTCGGTTGAACACAGACACAAAACAAATCATTATAAACATGTCACTTTACAGCAGAAAAGAACGTGTACCTCTAATGCAATTAACTTGTCACGTTGTTGAGGTCAACTATCGATATAGAACTGTAGATAAGTTGGCCACAGTTTTAGAATCTAATAGTCTCTACAGGGAGGCAACTTCACACTGGGGAATATTATATTAGCCCTCACTAATGAACAAATTAAGCGTTAATTAGTGTGATCTAATCCTAGCCCTATCCCTAACCTTAACCCACATGGGAAAGTTTCAGTTAGTTAGTTAGATGTTGGATAAGGCCATGTGCTTAATAAATGCCAACTGAGAGCTAATTAACCATAATAAATTATAAAATGTATTATAGATTTTACACTAATTCGCACTTTACAAGCTGTTAATTAATTAGTGAGGGCTAAACTATTTTTCTGTATCTCAAGATCAACAATGCACATGGAGGCTCACACATGAAGGAACAACAACTCGAGGCAGCTTCCTTCAGAAATGAACTATTCAGAACTTCAGATCTGTTTTTCCTTGATATTAGATCTGTTTTGGCTGAACGTGGCTCGAATTGTCTCTGTCTTAATCCTCATGATCTACATTATGATTAAACTTCTCTAATAATTTTCTAAGGATTGTAACAGTTCCCTCCATGCTGTTTCCGGGTCACTAACAGAAGGATAATCCACTTGTACATACAGGTGAAACTTAGAGGTAAGGGACCATTAGAAAATTCTAGTTCAAAAGTTCATTTACTTCTATAATTCAACTTGCAATGTGACAATAATATATGACCGACTCATTAAGTCATATATATATATATATATATATATATATAAATCCTTTATGTGTTCATTAACATGTACTGTCCCAACCAAATAAGCAATAAAAAAATAAAAAAATGTCATGGTGTGTACTATCTGTTATTTTCTGTGGTTGTGTATTTATATATACAGTATATATTTGTGTTCTTGTTGTGAGTTTTACTTCCTGTCTGTCCTGATGATTGTTTGCCCCGCCCTGATGTGTTACCCCTGTGTGTCCCTGTGTGTATTTAGACCCTCTGCTCCTGTTCTCTTGTTGTCGGTCCGTTGTTGTTTTTGCGTCATGTCTTGTCCCTGGTTTATACTTTTGCGTTTATATTTTTGTGTCATAATGTGTCTTGTGTAATAATGTTGATAATCATGGCTCACAGCTGTAAAAACCCTGAACAAAACAACTCAGAAGATTAGAATATTTTGAAAAGGGACCGTAAGCCATAATCATAACAAAACCACATGTTTTGCATATCTATTGAGTCTATATCATATGCTGGCTTCACATTCTAAGCTGAATATCAGAAATAATTGCACTAATTTTCTGAGTTTCCCCTGTATGAACATGATCATACTAAACGCTATAGAGGTTGCCATGGAGACGACGGAGTTCCTAAAGCCTCAGGCCACACACGCTCCTGTCTGAGGGGGGAGAATGGCGGTGTCTGTACTTGTCGGAGGTGGTGATGTCCACGGCTCGGCCCTCGTAGTGCAGCGAGTCCTCAGAGTGGTGTCCGTCCTCGTCCCAGCCTTCGGTCACTCTGAGCTTCACTCCGGGCCACATGTTCATCACAGAGATGGCCAGAGAGTTCAGCTTGTCCTTGCAGCGCTGGAACACAAGCAGATGCACGTGTGAGAGGCTTTTAATTCAGGGACTTCAAAAAGCTTTATGAGAAACCATAACTCAATACTAGTGCTGAAGACAGTTGAGATGCATTATAACTATTCAGTTATTGATATATGTAGCTGTATTTGTTGATAGCTGTAATCAATGAATATTTTTTTTGAACAACACAGCGATTTAAGCATGCTGTTACAAAGTTTAATGACAACCATTGGGGTAGTTGTCTGTCTAATCACGACTATACGGAAACAACGGAAACCTTGATTATATATGGGGAGAATAGACCATGTTCCGTCCATACATTCACTGTCTATGCTCCCAATAGATCTCTTGTTACTGCAGGAAAAATGGAAAACTGGAATTTTTCAACAAACACCCAAAATTTCTCTGGTCAATAAGAGGTTTAGAGTTGCAGCATTTTAGGGTTATTTTTGTCAAATCAATTATTCATTATCCTTACAGGGCTTTTGTGATCCAAACATCAAATACATTCTCAAAATAAGACATTTTCTATAATACATAATACCAAGTTTTTGAAAAGTAAAATATCCAAAGTACAATGTAACTTTCCGATTTCATAGATGCATGTTGTGGACGATTATAGCCAAATATACAAATACGAGTCATGTTTGTGGAAATGCAAGCTACTCACAGTGAAGACAGACATTTTTAGAGTTACAAATGTGCACTTATGTTCTTCAGCCAAAAAGTTCACGCTCAAAACCTTCCTCAAATGGACTCACTTGAGCACGTTCTGCCTCATTTTTGAAAACAACACAGAGTTTTTGACCAAATTTCTCGTTTCAAGGTGAATGTTCATGTTCTTACCATTACATGAGGCCCAATGGGATTAGGGACAGTACAAAAATAAGATCGACTTGAAGAATCTACATATTTTATAAAGCGGTTACTGATTATATTATTATATATTAACCAAGATATCGAACGCATTCACATTTTTCAGTCTCCACACATTACAGTGGGGTAATTTATTATATTAGATACAAGAGAAACACAAGAAAATTGGGACTTTTGATTTCTTGAATGAGTAAACACTGTCTCCCTTAAATTTTGCTTTAAAATGTACATGTCACCCAATCATTTAGAGTTCAAACATGACTATAAAGCAGCAGGTTTATCTTAATGCTGTAGGTGCATTTTAAACAGATGTGTTTAAGGAGCAGACTGAGCCGTTCTGTCGCAACCATGACTACGCTTATACGCAAAGGAATTACAAAAGTAGCGCATAATGATGTAGTAAATTGTCTGATACTGTAGATTCTTGAAGGGAAAACAGACACGCAAGACCGTAGTGAAGCCGGTACAGCAGAGATAGGGTGTGAGCCAAGGTCAGAGCGTGTTTGGGTCTGGGTGCAGGCTGTGTTTGGGTGGGTGGGGGTGGGTGGGGGGTAGAGTGATTACACGGTTGTGGCTGGGACACTAAGGACACAAGCACTCAGACTAAACACGCATCAGAAAAACCAAGCTAATATAATACTGGAGACCTAATCGTACGTCCTGGAGCATTAGAGATATTACAAAAAGACTGGGATTTTTCACTTATTGAGTTATATATGTTTTAAACTATGAAAAAAATGATTCTACTTCATAGTTGAAAAGTCTACATAGTTTACAATTGCAAATCAATATAAAGTAAAGTGATTATATACTTACTTCTTTATAATGCTAAAGTCAGAGATTCTGTACTTAATTCTTGCTTCTTCATTAGGCTAAAGCTGGATATTTTATTTATTTTTATTTAATGTAGTAAAGATTTATGGTTCATTTATCTTGTGTTGTGTGCTCCTCATTCTTACTGTTCTGTAACCGGTGATGCAACACTGACATTTTGCCACTGTGGGACAAATAAAGAATCTCTCTCAATATGCCAATTTCCACTACACAAATCATTGACGTTTTGTTTTGGATCAATGGTTAAAAATGGACAGTAAGGATCCAAATAAAACAGGTGAATATTATACAACCAAATCTAAGACAATTCAAATATTGCTCAAAAGTCCATTTTCTTCTATTATGAAATGTACTATGTGAAACTAATATATGATATAGACTCATTATTTGTTATAATGTTGATAATCGCCTCACTGCAGTAAAAACCCCAAATAAAACATCCCAGAAAATATTGTAACAAACCATGTGTCACTTTGAATCTATAGGGGTTTATACCATGCTGTATAGTGTCTGAATGAGATAAATTAATTGGCTTTAGATCAGTATTCTAATCTTCTGAGTTGCACCTGTATTAGCAGATAGAGGAAAGTTATTTTTGCCAAAAATGTTTGCAATAAAAGAAAAAACTCTTTTCAAGAGCCCATGTTTTAATGTGGTTAAATATGTTGTTTTTATGTTTTTTCCCCACTCCTATTTGGGCATATACTTGTTAATAATTTCTGCATTTGCATTGGCATAATGGTTGTACAATATTTGAGTATTTAAATAAACTCATATGTGATGAAAATGACCGACTGAGCCCTGGGTCACATCTACATAATGGTTGACCTATTCGAGTCCAGTCTTAGTATTGGTCTAGTCCTAGTTCTTGGAAAGCCACACATTTCACACATTTTTCAAAGTTTAAAACAGAGTCAATAAAGATTTAAGTTGATGCCTGAGTTCAGCCTGTACACCTTAACTTTGTATTTCTGAGGGAAAACTGGGAAAAACCAACAATTATGAATTTGACTAAATTGCAGTCTTTTGGATATGAAATTACCGTTACTATTGAAACAGCTCACAGAGCACAGCAGGAGAAACCACTGGAACCATCAGGATGGTTAGGGCTCTGATGGTGCATTCACACTGGTCTGGTTGACTTTGATCACACTGTGGCCACATAAGCCATTTCTTCTCTTTTGAAACAGTTCTGTGACTTAGAGGATTATTCATTGGTACAGTTACACTCTGGGACTGAATGTGAACAGGCTCTTAGTCTGGACCAAAACACCAAACCAGCATTCAACACTGTGTTGTATAAAATGGATTAAACAGGGTATCAAGACCCTTGCTGGCATGTCATATTTTTATTTATTTAGTTAAGAACAGTTTTTGCAGGCCTTTTTACAGCAGATAAAATAGTGTTTGGGTCAATGTTTGGGTCATTTGTCAATGATTGTACTTTAACTTTTTTCAGAGACAATTTTAACCTCATTACACTGGGTTTGAAAGTCGAACAGCTTTTGTCTTGCTGAGATTAACTTGTATTTTATAGTTCTGTTGTGAAACTTGTCCTCTGCATTTGACCCATCCTTCCAGTGCCACTAGGGCTTCTTTAAGGAGCAGTGGGTGCTGTAGTACAGCGGCCAGGGACCCAGCTCCAGATGCTGTTATTCCACAAGGGAGAATATGCCCAAAAGGCCCTGTTCCGACCGGGATTCAAACCCAGAATTAAAGAAAAATATATATGTATCCAGATAAATAAATAAATCCTCCACCACAATTCTACGGTTTCTCTCTGTGTTACAAGACTCAAACTGACATCGTCTGCAACTTTCTGCTGTGAAATGCACCTCTGACGTCATTAAAAAAGCAAGGGCAAAAAGACACAGCCTTTTGGAGAACCCTTGAGTAGTTTAGTAGTAGTGTGAGAGAATAATTTCACTCCAAGTCATTACTGTACTCCTCTACTTTAAAATATAACACTTTATATTTCCTCATTATAACCATTAACTATAATGTGATCATTCTTATACTACATGTATTGAATCTTTTTGATATTGATCTAAAAATGAATCTACAACCGCATCTATAGTTGCTGTGTTGTTTTGAATGTAAAGGGACGTCAACATGATGGCAGTGTAAACTATAATTAAATGAGAAGAGACACTATTGAACACATATAGTCATATTATTAAATGTGATCTTGCATAAGTGTCTCTCCTCATATGGATTACAAAACTTTCAAAAAACGTCCAAACAAAAAGGCCGCAACCAAACTTGTCACAAATCCGAAAATACTCCAACAGTCCCGACACCAGCAGCCCAAAAGTGGACAGAAGAATTCAGGCTGGAGCAAGGTTACACCAGGCCTACTGCTGCAGCCGCTAATGTGGTCACCTGACTTATAAATATCTTTTATGGTGCTGCCGCGTGCATTATTATAGAAATCATAAATGTTGCCCTGCTGCGCTGTGGCTGGCTGTGCAGGCTGAGTTCACACTGCTCTCTGTGGAAGTCCAAATACAGCAGGATCAATGGGATTTCACTTTATTATGCAAAACTGATCTTTTCTCCCGTTTTACCAAAAGCCCTCATCAAAAACTTTTTTTAACTTTGTCCAAGTTTTTTCACAATACTATACGGAACAGTGGGTGAAAGTTGTGCAATATTTGAGCTTTTAATCATGTCACAATGTTTCCCTCTTCCAAGCTCCATCTATGGTCAGGCACAAACCAGCACAAATACCTCCCCCCGGCCCTTCTGTCTGAAAGCACTAATTTCAAACTCATTACACACTAGGATGTGCAGAGCTGTTTTCTGCTTCAAAAACCACAATCTGTCTCAAGTGAAATGATGTCCTGTAAAAATGGATGCCTTCAATTAGATTGTGCCATGCTGGATATATATTAAATGTAATTCCCCACCTCTGCCACTAGATGGAAGTGTTTTGCTCATCCTGACCTTCTCTTATTCCATTGTAAAAGCACATCCAAATATGTTCTACTTAATTCAAATAATTCTAAACCAAAAGCATAAGATTCCAAACATAAAAAATCACAATCATGTTTAAAGGTCAAATGAAACATAAAACAAGTCACAATATTGAAAAATAGTATTTTTAATGTATTTATGGCACACAAAGCATGTGTCCTAATGGTGAGTGGGTTCAACAAAACGGACTTCTACTTGTCTATAATCTGTTATGTTTATGGTTTAAACTTTTCTTTCTAATTTGAGATTTTTTTTAAATACAACTTGGGTTTATTTATTTATTTATCAATCTACAGTTTGATTAAAAGTAGGAAAAT